GGAAGCTCAGGTTCCAGCCACGGCTCTGGAAGCTCTGGTTCCAGCCACGGCTCTGGAAGTTCTGGTTCCATCCACGGCTCAGGAAGTTCTGGTTCCATCCACGGCTCAGGAAGTTCTGGTTCCAGCCACAGTTCGAGTGGATCTAGTTCCAGCCATTGTTCCAGTGGATCTAGTTCCAGCCACGACTCAAGTGGATCTGGCTCCGGTGGAAGCAGTTCACAAAACGGAGTTTCAATATCGGGCAATACATCCTTGTTTTCATTTTTGGGTGGTCTCTTATCTTCTATTTTCCATGTACGTATTTGTAATTTTTTTGCAATTTATTCGTTTGTTTTCAAAAAAAAGATAACTTCAAGTATGAAAAGTTATGCTGATGTTTTATATCTTTTGGCTGTTTGTTATGTTCTTAATTACAAACTGTTTTCTTTTCTTTTCCTTTTCAGATGCCATATAACTTAGTATCTGGTCTATTAGGTACGGTATTGCACTTGGTCTATGCGCTTCTTTCTGGTGTACGTAACCTTGTAACATCTTTACCAGGTCTTCTATCATCTCTGTTATCCGGAATTGGGAATCTTTTATCCAATATACTCTCTCTCCCTGAATTCCTAGTTTCATTAATATTACATCTTGTAACCGGTCTCCTTTCAGGTATACTTAATCTAGTTATAGGTTTATTAGAATTTATCTTAGATACAGTTCTTGGGTTGCTCCGTATGATTTTACCTAAATCGATATCATCATCGATATCATCACTGGTAGAAGATGTGTTACCACCAATTATACACTTAGATTAAGCTTGATTTCTTTTTAAATGCTAATCGATAAAGTATAATTTATCTTTTTCAATTATATGTTAAATAAATAGAAACGTTAAACAACATTATACAATGAAAATATAACACACGAATGAATATTTATTTAATATTAATTATTTACCTTTTAACAATCGATCTTATCTTATCTTCTTCGATCGTATTTATCTAATAATAATACCCGAATAATAAATTTAAATAAAGATCTCTTGTTTGTGCGTGATTATTGTAAAATATTAACACTAAATGACTTTGCTTTCATCATGAGTGCATTAATTGTAAAGGGAAAGTAACCAAGTTTCGTAAGAGTACATCGAGTCCGTTGGCAACCATCGGTGCTTCGTCAGTCAATGTGTGAACCTCGTCAGGGTCGGAAGCATAATTAAATGGTAATCATTATTTAATTCGTAACAATCAAGTTCGTTAGGATTATTTACATGCTCGTTCAACGTTACGCATTTAAAGTGTCAAAATATACGATTGTCTCATTAAACAATAATTCAACGTGAAATCAAGTGAATTTATAATTTTTTATTCGATGTACAAAAAATATTATTTAATTGTTGTTCTTGTTTTGTTTTTCCTTATAAATACAATTCTTCTTTAATCGTTGTTAAATAATCTTAGAATATTTGAAACGAAAAATTAAAACAACAGGTGGAAAAAATGTAACGACGAAAAAGTTGCTCTCTCTCTCTCTCTCTCTCTCTCTCTCTCTCTCTCTGTAATCATTTTGTATGAAATAGAAACTTTATTATTATTATTATTAATCTATTTGTTTAATATCAAACATATGTTAACTGTTTATTTTTGGAATCAAAAATTATCATAACTTTAACGAATATTTTTATTCGATTTAAATTTGTCGTATATTTAAATGATTAGAATTGTAATTTGATTTTCAGTAGCAGTGATTTGAATCTATTAAAGGTTGCCTGTTACAAAATATAATGTTGCATTTTTCGATTGTCGTATTAATCATTGCATTTCTCGTTACGTCGTCGTATTGTCATCCAATAGAAGAACCGACGAAATTTCAATTGAACACAAACAAGGATTCTAACATAGAAAATATCCAAAAGCCCGCATCGAAATTGGAACAAGCACAAGTAAGATATATATATTACATTATCGTAATAACAAAATAATAATTAAACATTTGTAATCATTTATATATTGCAATAATTATTTCATAGTATTGTACACGATCGAAACTAATGTTTTGAAATAATCAAATTAAATCGTTTAAGATCACGTATGCGAAAATTTCAATATTTATCGATATACAACGAAAAAGAAACTAAAAAAAAGAAGAAAAAAACGTAGGAGAAATCTTTGGTGTTGTTCTTTTACGATTCGAGTTTCTAATCGATATTGGTGGCATACTTTTGCTTTCTCCTTTAATCTCTTTCCATCCGTTTCTTCGCCCACTTTTTCTCTATCTTCGAATTTTCTTTTTTCTTTTTCTATTTCAAAAATATGTTCGACAATGAATTTTTATAGGAATTATTATTTCGAATTGGCGACGCAATAAGAATTGCCAGAGGAAAATTTGTTAATGCTATTACATTGGCCAGAAACAACATTGTCTATCGAATCGAGGTAATATAGTAAAAAAAAAAAACGAAATATTGAAAAATTGGATGTTTAAAAGAAAAAAAAAAGATAAATATCTTTAAGAATAATAATGAATGATAGCAATTGACCGCAATCCATATTAATAATTTGTACCTTTGGATATTGCAATGAAACAAAAAAAAGAAAAAAGTCATTTACCGGATCATGTAACTACTTCTTTATCTTTATTTCGTAACATTTGACAACGTAATTTTAATGTATATTGCGTATTTGTAATAATAATTATCAATATAACTGAGAAAAGAAAATTATTTTTCTCATTTAAATTTTCATTCGACACTCTTATGGATAAAGCAACATTGTTCTTTTGTTTTTCTTTTTTTTTCTTTTCCAGATAATAACTGCAAACAATGTAGTATCGAATATCAAAGAAAAATCCATATTCTTGGATGAAGGAAGAGAATCCTTGGAATCCCTACGTTATCCTCCTAGTATATTTTCTGCAAGTACTACGAGTAGTCGTGAAACTGTTCGTTTAGAAAACGAATCCGAACAATCGTTGGCTGAGAAAACATTGACGTTGCCGTTTAACGATTTGTTCATAAATTTGTTCAATCCAACACCATTAGTGGATCAAATAAAAGAAGAGGATAAGTATGGTAACACGGGAAATAAAATGGCTGGTATTGGAAGAGCATTGGTTAACGGTTACGAAAGTTTCAGTAATTTTTTAAACTCTGCGATCAACGTGAGTAGAATCAATTAACAATTTATCTAATAATATTATTCGTCGTGATTTATTAACTCGTATGTATTTTATTTACAGTCAGCGCAAAATATTAGAAAATCCGTGAGAAATAATATTGTCGATGCGTTGAATCAATTTGGTGGTAAACTTGTTGGACTACAATAAATTAAAAAAATTAAATTAAAAAAAAAAAAAAAAAAAAAAAAAAGAAAATGGTACAAGTCGGTTGAAAAACAATTTGTTGAAAGATCCAATTTTAACATGTTGTATTTATAATTCAAGAAAATTATGCATTTTATCGATTTTTACTTCAATAATAAACGATCTATTTGTTTGTTACGTTAAGAAAAAAAAACTGGGGGAATGCAATTCAACTAGACGTTCGTATATATAAAGTTACTTTCTTTTTTATTATTAAATAAACGATTAAAAAAAAAAAGAAAAGAAAGAAACAACATTTTTTGTTGGCCTGACTAAAGGAAATTCGGAGAATTAACGATATAGAATTTGAAATATTTTCTAATCGTTTCTCGAGTCTCTCGTACGTGACTATTACTTTTTCTAACAATAAAATATATGTCGTAAGCTCGCAGAAACGTATACGTTGTTACATATATTTAAAAAAAAAAAAACAAAAAAAAAAATACAATATACATATATTAAATATATCAATTGAAAAAACGAAACGAAAGGAAAACATCATCCTATTCACGCATTAAGCAAACTATTATATTATATATCCTAGATAATTATTTTAATGATATTATAAATAAATAAAATTTTCAGGCATCATTTCTCTCTAAGAAAATTAAAGCTAAACGATCCTAGGTGTTTTTTTTTTTTTCTTTTTTTTTAGCTCGAAAGGAGCCTCGATCTCAAAAGAATATATATTTATATACATTTATATATATATTTAATATATTTTCTACAGTCCTATCGCATGCACACACATTTGTGCATATATGTATATATATATTTATAATTTAAATAATTTTCTAAACGTTAGTTATAGTTTTTCCCATCTTAAATACATCGTAATGATTAAACAATAATTTCAACTTCCTATTTAAAAGTGTTCGATTACTGAAAAATAATTCAGCATCACTGATAAAAATTGAGACTACATATACAATTATATTCATTGACTAATGTATTCTTTATTTGTGTTTTGGATATATGTCAGGAAATAAGAATATGTACAAATTGTATACATATATGTACGTCTATGTGTACATGTGTGTGTGTGTGGTCAGGACTGTAGAAAAGATGGGAACGAAATTTACAAAATCTTTCTTTAGAAATACCACGAACGAGAGTAAGATCAGAAAAATAAACGAAGGAAAAATATAATCTCACAAATATAATATAATTAAATAAATACTTTTCACTTGTCTTAATTCATCGTCTTGACTCGTGTCACATTCGTTCCTGGTAAAAAGTGTATAATCCTCGTATTATACGATTAGTAACGAATATCAATGATCTTAAAGTATAGATTCAAAATCGATCGTCACAGTGAATCGAAATACAATTGTGATTTCGATTCTATAAAATAAAAACGAATTCTATTGGATCTTAGAGGCTATTCTCTTCTAAGATCCAACGGAAATTCTAGGTATTTGTAGTATCGTAACTTTTATAAGTATGAGATGATTTCTTTTGCCTGACCGTACAAAAAAGTATCATACTTGCTACTTGTCCGAATAATTGAAGAAAAGCTACGACCAATCCGACAGTACCAACAACGTGTAACCTGGTAACCAACCACATTTGTATGGCCGATGCACAACCTTCCTTGTACCAAAGTTCTTTTTTCGTTCCTTCAGGATCTAATCTACCACAATACCTTTCTCGTTCAATGCAACAAGAATCTGGTACACGATCTTCCGTTGGCCATGCATTAATTTGATACCAATCGGTATAATCTCGTACACCGCAACAATGAAACTGTAACAAAATATTGATAGATATTATTTCATTTGTATAATTAATTAATTAAAATTTGTCACACGTTATAATATTATTTATTACTTCGGTGTGTATGTGATCCCATACGGCAGGTAAGGTACCAGGTTCCCTTGTTAAATTGTAATGCCTTTCGATACCAAATAATAATTCTTCTTTAAGGCTTTTAGCAAGATGCTCGCGAAATATAAAAGCGAGTGTACCGAGCATGAATTCAGCCAGGAACATTAATATAACCAAACTGAAATACTAAAATCAATAACGAATAAATAATTACGTTGATAATAATTTAATAATTAAATATCATTATCAAACACAGATTATATAGATTTACCGTGATCAGCATGCATCTCGATTGAAACCAAGCTCCGCAGCATCCGAAGAAAGCAATAACAAATGTAACGCATCCTGCAGCTAATAACAAGGAATCAGCAGATGCGAAACTGTATTGTGGTACCAAAGTTGTGTATCCCGAGTATGCCAATCGTAACCAAAGGCCAGCACCCAAAATTCCGCAAGCGCATAACTGTAAAAATTAATTATCATAGAAAAATTATCTCGAATGATTTATTTTGTTAATTTTTCTTTTTTTTCTTCTTTCCAATCGATACGCGCGTTCAATTGATATTTTCGTCTTGGAATATATATATAATATTATTTATTATTATTTTATTTTAATATCTATAATTTTTTTTTTCTTTTCTTAGTATTATACGTGAACGTATTATTTCGAAGATGAAAGGGGAGGGGGTGGGAAAAAGGTAATGGTCGTGGTTAAAAAAAAATATAGAATTTTATAGAATGTAATACTCGTACAGAAAAAAAAATATGTTCTCGTCAGTAAACCGAACAAATTGGCGTGGATCATCATCATCATCATCATCATCATCATCATCATCATCGTCTACTTAGATGATACCGTAAGTTCATAGCTCATAGAGCACACAGTAGGGTTCAACGTCCCGTTTAGAGAGTAGTCTCCCTACCCTTGTTCTCGTAACAAATGTTTCGTAAAGTGGCAATAAATTCGAGAAAGAAAGAAAGAGAAAGAGAGAGAAAGAGAGAGAGAGAGAGAGGCCGGAAAAGTGCATTGGAATGTGCAACGAGTTAAATGTACAATTGCCCGGTATAATCCCAACTTGGTATCATTCGTCGTTGACTTTTTATTTTTTTTTCTTCCCCCTCCTCCCTCCCCCTTTTTTCCCTCATTCGATCACCGAATCGAATTTTTGTCGGTCATCGTGCGTTATACGCGACTCGCGTATACAATTTTCTAAACTTTCGATACAAAATTCTCATGGTAAAAGAGAGAGAAGAAGAAGAAGAAGAAGAAAAAAAAAAAAAATCCCGTTAGCGGGTCAAGTTTTGTGAGTTAATGTAACTACTAAAAAGAAGGACAAACAAGGAAGAATTTATTTACGTGTATGTTATATATATATGTATGTTACTACACATACCCATATGAGAACGTTGAGGGAACAGAAAACGTGCCTAATGCACGTGTATCCTGTGCGGCCCATGATATAATCCCACCTCCTTCGTGTTCCTCCGATGGGGGGGAACTGGCAGTGTTTCCTAGAAAATTCAAACAGAAGGATGAAGGATGATAATACACCAAGTATATCTCTTCTTTATCACTTTAACAGGAAACAATTGGATATAATTTATCCTGATGTAAAAACAAACCCTTTCCCTTTTCCCCCATAAATATCGGACAACGTTCCGAACATTATTTCTTTTCGCATTCCTTCTTTTTATATTTTATTTTATTTTATTATTAAAACTCGTATTATAATATTTCTTTTCATACCTCGGAGATTAATAAAGTAATATTTAATCTCTAAGAGATGTTCGTTAACTGTTCGTTCGTTTTTTAAATACATCGATCGGGATATATTTTTGATTTGCGTTTGAATGGAAAAATTTGTAAAATGAAATAGAAAAATATTGAATTTCTATGGAAGAAACAATATCGCGAACGTTAGATAAAATATGATCCAAAACACGTTGTCCAATGGTTGCATAATAATCAATGAAGAAACAATAGTATGAAACAATAATAAGAAAACACAAGTGATCCGATCCGATCCGATCCACGATGGACGAGGATCCGTTCCGTAATGTGTCCGGGACCAAACTCGATACGATTGACTCTCCGGCCCCGGTGGTGGGCCCCTTCTAGGTCCCCTAACGGGACACACCGCAGACACGGCCTCTCACCTATACAACACGCTTTTACAATCGCGATCATGGGTATTGAGATCGTTTTTATTCGTAACAGGAGGGAAAATAGGAAGGGGAGAAAGGGGTGGAAGGGTGGGAGGGTGGTTGGTTGCACGGTGGTGTCAACTTCGAAGGGTATCCACCATTGGAGGTCGAACCTACGTCACTTTTCCTATAAGTACTCCTCCTCCTCCTAGAAAGGTAGATAGAATGACACGTGGTATGATTTAAAAAAAAAAAGAAAAAAAAAGAAGTAATTCAAGGCGTAAACAATACGCGTGTCGGACTAGAAATTATTTCCTTCCTTCTTTTTTTTTATATTCTCTATCTAATTTTGTATCCTTTCACTCGATATCCTAATTGTGGTGATTACAAAATTTAAATATAATGATACTACACGTTATGATTGCAAAACTAACTAATTAATTCATTCATTCATTCATTCATTCCTGACATTCTCAGACAACTCGAATCATTTTTATTTTTATCCGAAGTTACGGCAGAAACCACGTACCAACGTGTAATTTTTATTTCCGTTTCTATAACACATATATATATATATATATATATTTACCATCGTCATTGGGATGGTGCATATATTATAGTTTTATTTTTATTTTTATTTTTGTTGTGTTCTTTTTAACGAATGATTATTTTATTCGTATAATAAATATATTCGTTTTATTCGTACGATATTTGTAAAGATTTCATCGAATTATTGAAAGTTTTCATTCGATGAGGAAGCAACCATGCGGATTATCGTACTCTCTAATCGTATCTCGAATAAAAACGGCTTGCTCGATTTACACAGTGTATCTTTCTTTCTCTTTCTTTCTCTTGGTGAATAGATACACTTTAATAAATTCTAATCCAATTCGTGCGATCAACGATCCCATGGCCGACGAACTTTACAGATCCTCCTCCTCCTCCTTCTCTTTTTATTAGAAACTATACGAATTATATATTTACATACTTACATACACACAAACACATTCACTCAGACACACACCTAAATACGCGATGATCCGATCAAAGAATTAAACGAAGAAGAAGAAGAAGAAGAAGATGTAACGCAACGTAGGAAGTTTCTCATTGAGTTAAAACACGAGATAAAATAAGATAGTAAGAGACAGAGATATGTATAGAAACTTTTACCTTGACTATGTATTTACAATTCATTCGTGTGCGTTTCTGTATAATGTATGTATGTATGTGTGTACTTACGCGTATAGTTATACATATGTGCATCACATTGAAAACGCATATGAAAAAGCGCGCGAAACAAATCCTTCGTTGAATTGAATTTACGATCTTTTGACCACGTGCTTCTTGACATTTCTATATTCTCGCGATTGTAATTGAAGATATATTATGTAATATTGTGTTTGTTTTATTATTATTCTTCTTCTTTCTCATTCTTTCCTTTCATTTTATAAGTCTCTCTCTCTCTCTCTATCTCGTTATCTCTCTTTATCATTTAACTTTTTTTTCTCTTATTTCATTTACAAATACGTAAATATTACAATCGTTATCTTTCTTGAATAATATTGATTCTTCTTATCAAAATTCTCGAACGTTAATTGGATTCATTTCGCGTCTAACAGTTGCCGTTATAAAAATATACCAATCCCTTTTTTCGCATACATTAAAAAACATATACAAATAAATGATAAGAAACTGATTAGTTAATGACGTTTAACAGAAATATTGTTAAACGAGCTATTAAAACCCCTAACGCATATGTTGAAATGAAAAATTCTTCGTTAAATACTTTGACTTTACTTTCATTAAATTATAATTCAACAATAATTATAATGATAAATATATTATTGAAACCAATCAATTGTTATCTATATTCAACATATAAAAATACCGATATACTAATTATAAATTCATAAATTATCGTATACAAGTAGGTGTATAATAATTTATTTCGTAGATGATGAAAAAACAACGTGGGTTTTTCGTATCCTTATAAAAAGCAGGTGAACGGAGGGGGCAAAGCTTTTCGATAAGCAAGCAAAACGTTGATGCGTGTGTGTGTGTGCATGTGTATGTATATATATATATATATGTCGTACGAGGGCGTTAATCGTACTTGAAATCAATTCGCTCGAGGGAAATGGAACCGCAGAAGCTAGTACGCTAATGAACGTAGAAGAGAGTTACGAGGGGGCGTAAAAACGGTCCCCCTGCCATGACTTCCTGCCAATTGCGGACAATTTGCGATCATCTATGATCTCCCCGTACCCCGTCACCCCGTTAAACCGGTGTGGATGGTGCCTAAACGTAAGAGAGATAACGCGACACGATTTTCTTCTCTCTCTTACTCTCTTTCTCTCTCTTTATTCATCTTTCACTCTCACTTCTCTTTCTCTATCCACGTTATTACATATTAACAACATTTAACACGACCTACGACGTGCATACAATTTCCCACGTGACGTAATCACCAAAAATGAGTATTAATAATTAGTATATTAATATTAAGATTATTAAAAATAATGATTAAAGATAATAATATTAAGTATCTTCATATTACAAGGATTATCATCTTGTTATTATTATCTTATTTCGAGATAACATACATCGAATTGGATAAATCAATTCTTCTTATAAATTTCTATGCGTGTGTATGTATATATATATATATCATATCATATATATATAGCTCACATAATTAATTGAATGATCGTCTTGGTTATGGTAACGATGAGATAATATGCGAACGTACGTTTTTGATCCCTCCCACGTAGAGGAAAATAAAAAGAAAAAAAGACAAAACAAAAGAAAAAAAAAAGAAAGAAAGAGATAGTCTTAACGGTGCATGCAAGGTATCGGGAACAAAGGGCCCGGCACATTTATCAACGCGACATCATTTAATTCCACACGGCTTGTACGTGATCGGTTTCTCGAACGAGGGATTATATTTAAAGGGGTTATCGTTCATACGTGTACGTATACCTACCTATATATGTGAATACGTGTATAACAAACCGAATAGAAAAAATATATTTCCTAAAGGAAAACAATCTTTTTCGAATCGCGTTCATGATATTTATGTATGTTTACTCTTTTATGGGATATTTTTATTATAAAAAAAAAAGAAAAAACGGATATGTCGGAATACGAATCGTGTATTATTCTTCTTTTTAATATTAACGTGTTTCACACACCATCACTTTTTATTAGCACCGACTCTCTTGTAATATAATTACATATGTATATTATTATTATTATTACCGATTTTCTTTCCCACGTGTGCGTTGGAAATGGGACTGAATAAATCGTGAAATAATAACAATACTAATTCTAAGCAATTTAATAAACGGGGTGTTTTGAAGTCGATTGTATTCGCGCGTTCGAAATTTCGTCCCCCATGGGAAGAGAAATCGACTACGTGCTTCTACTCCTTATATATATATATATATATATATATGTATACATACGTGTATTCATTTTTCGCACGATCAATTTAATCATGATCGTCCGAGAAATATTCTTATATATATACTTTCATTATTTCTTTATATTCTTTTCAATCCGAGAAACTTTGTGATTTTTCCAGACGACTAACACTTTCATATTATTATTTTATACTAATCGAAAAAAAATTAAAAAAAAAAAATCGTATATATACGATATCCGAATAGTGGGTTTGGTCTTTCTTGTTTTTTTTTTTTCTTTTTTTCTGTTTTCAAATAATAAATCGGTTCACGTTTCATTAAGTTCGTTACAGTAGAAATACTTTAAAAGAAAAAAAAAAATCGTTTCACCTTTTTATCTAACAGACAACATTTTTCATCCCAGTGTTTCGCATTAACTTCATTATGAGCTTCAACGGGAGATCGTTATCATCGTGTATAATAATGCACGTAGTCAAGTTTTCTTACGTAACTATGTCCTCCAACCGGAAGAAAATATCCAGTACGTGGATATTATTATTTTTTTTTTTTTTTTTTTTTTTTAAACAAGCGTATATGTATATACATTTTTATTTTTTGTTTTTTTTTATATGCAAGAAGGAAAAAGAATTATCGCAACGAAAAAGAAGAAGACAATGAATAATAAAAAAAAATCGGCAAAGAAAAGATAAATGTAAATGAAAATGTGTGTGATGATCGATGAAACGAGAACTTTTGTTATACCTCCAGAACAAGAAACGAATCGTTTTGCATATAAAAAAGCTTCTCTTAGAAAAGAACGAACAGTATGATGCGTATACTTGCATACATGCATACGCGTGCATTGGAATTCGTGATGCAATCGGGTAATCGTATATACGAACATGCATTACCCATATCACTGGATATAATATCGAAAGTGAATCGCGAATTAATTAACAAAAAAAGACAAAAAAAAATAATAATAATAATAATAATAATATCGTAGCGATCGTTAATAAATAAATTATTATCTCAAAAATTGATAAAATATATAAAAAGAAAAACATGATTTTTCGTTAGAAATAATAATTCGAATAATATATCGAAATTCAAGTTACCGATAATCGTTCTTTTGATTAAAGGCGCGAAAATATGATTTATCCTTTTATAATATTGACTATGATGTGATATATAACACAACTTACGGATCGTTAAGAGAATAGATCTAGACGAGACGTTTTCCTCTTAATTAAGATTGTCAAAAACAAATTTTACTATTATCTTTTTTCTTCCTCGCGAATCACTAAAGCTTCTTCATGGATGCTGCAGTCAAAAGTCGAGTACTGTTTCGAGTACGCGAATCGACTGCAGACAAAACGTTATAACAGAATTCTCATAGCACACATATCCGTTCTCCATCCTCTCATTTCTGAGATCAGTTTCGAAACAGTTGCCCCATCTGATGGCGATCTAAAGAATTTACTTTCGTAGTAAGAACAATGATCTAAATAGATCATTGATCATTATCCAAAAAAATCTAATCTTAATTTTTTTCTTTTTTTTTTTAATTAACCATTTCAATAAAATAGTAATATATATGAATTATATAATTAATATCAGGAATATCCTGATATCTGATCGATTTAAACATTTTTTTTTCCTCCCCGCGTGCTATTTTTTATTGTCAATTGTTAAAACCACAATGTTTCCCCTCAAAAAATAATTCTGTACATTATTTTGTTCCTTTTCTTTTTTTCGTAATTCTCGACACGATTTTTGCTTTCGACTTTCGACATTCCTCTAAATGCCGATCAATTTAAAATTATTCTCTCGGTGATGACCATTTCTGTTAATTGCATTTTCTTTAAACGAGTATATACTCTGATACAAGTTTTCCAACTTTCTCAACAATGTTCCATGAACAAGCCGCAACAGACTGTCCCGAACAAGGATCGTCTTTAATAATATGATTATAATTTTTATTATTGTTCTGCATACTACCGCATTTGAATTAAAAAATGATTTTTTATTAGATAACTTTTACCGCGAATGACCTCGTAATTGATGTTAATGCGACTCTATTGTGCGAATATTTCTAATAAACTTTCTTTTTCCCGGACGACTAAGTCTTCCTTTTATACTACAAGCATACTTTCTTTCTATCCATTTTTAAATGCTACGAATGGTTACAGAACCAAACGAACATTAGCAACAAGAATATCTCTCTAACTTTCTTTTAATTCAATTAACAATATGAAGTTTTTTACACGGACGGACACGCACACGCACTCAATATTCCGTCGCTTATGGTAAGTTATATTTAAAAAAAAAAAAAAATAAATAGTATATCGAAAATTGGAATAATTATATTTCATTTTGTATGACTATATTTTCTTAAATAAAGTTTTTCAAAACAATTAATAGAAATTAAACTTCAGCATATTGTGTTTTGTCCTACAATAAATATTATTTCACATATTTTAATTATTATATATTATGAATAAATAAAGAAACAATATATTACTATAAAATTTCAATTTACACACAAATTTGATATCTGTCGTAGATTATTACATCCTTAATATCTGCTCTATCTAATTAAAATATCAAAACTGAAATCTTACATCATATCACTTTATTTATGTACACGTTAACGATAATAATTATTTAACTCTCATTGAGAATATATTGCAATATTAATTGAATTTTTGTAATAGATAATCATAGTAATTAGTAGCTCTTTTTTTATAATTAATAATTAATGTTATATATATTAACAAGAAGGAATGCTCTAATAATTTCTTCTCTATTGATAATTTTTCTCTTTTAAATTTGTCAAGTGTGATAATCTAAAGAACAATTCTCTAAATCTATAAACAATATTACATCTTATGGAAGTAAGTAGAATAATGACTATCCGATGACAATTCTGCTGAATTAATAGACAAGTCACCTGTACTGCAAGGAATAGTTGGTATATGCGATCCTTGTATAGTAAATCCATGATAATCTTCTTGACCTATTGATTCAATAGATGATACAAGATTGGCACTAGAAGTGTTTGAATTTCCAAGCAATGTATCAGGTGTATCTTTTTCGTGTAATTGGGAATCAGTCATCAATAAATCACATTGTGTGTCTAAACTGATTAGACTCGTTTCATCATCTGCTTTACTAACATCTAAACTGCCGTCTCCAGTAAAAGAAGGAAAATCAAATGTCGGGGAGGGCGTAATGCAATCCTCCATCAGTGAAGTTCTTAAATCGGCTGAATTATTTGTCAATAAGTTGTTTTGAGATTGATCATTAATAGGGTGCGAATAAACCTGTAGAAAGAATATTTAAATATTAAATAAATTACATTTCACGCGCGTGCACGTAAGCACGCATTTAATTACCTGAGGTATAATAGGTGGAGGTAATTGATAATTTTCAATATTATCTGAATCTAAATTCGTAGGCAATCTCTGACTTTGTGTTATCAATAACGGAGATTTTTCAATAGCTGCGGATACTTTGACTTCTATATCTTGTTTAAATTGTGTCATTCTACTTTGTAATTCGTTCGCTTCTTTAATTATTTCTAAATTTTTCGCTTTCAAATTATCAAGTAACGTTATATCTTCGCACATCAAGTGTAAGTTCTATAAATCGGATTTATGAAATAATAAAAACACATTATTCGTTTAATTTGAATGCGAAAGTCTAAGATTATAAATTAATAAGAAAAAAATTATATATTCACTTCACACATCATCAATGCAGATTCCCATGTATTAGCTGGTACTCTTTCTCCTGACATATACGCATTGAAATCTTTTTCAGCCATATTTAAAGATTCAGCAGTTAAGTTCTCAATAAAAGATACAGCACAGCACTAAAATTTGTTTTTCAAGTAATAAATTAATACTTCTTTTATATAATGAAAATAACTAATAGAAAATAATACTATACCAAATTCGTAAAATAGTATCCTCCTTCTCCTGTCATTAGTCTGCTTGCGTTACAAAACCTTGTTATGAAATTAATATTACTTTTAAGTCGTGCGGGATTGGCTTTTAAAACGATAAAAATAAGAGCTGGTAAAAATTCATCTGCAGATGCCGGACCATCTACGGATTGTTGTAACAATAAGAATATATTTCTACAGCAATAAATAACGCAGGCTAATTTTTCTTGTGGAGCTTTAGCAGAATCCATATTTAATAAATCTAAAAGAGAAATAATTATTTGATTTTATTATAATTAAACTATAACAAAAAAACATCTATATTACAAACCTGTTATAGATGTGTACACAAGTTCTCGAACTTCAGAACTAGTTTCGTGTATTCTACATTCTAAATTCTTCCCACTGACCCAATTTAATTGTCTTATTCTGTTAAAAATAAAATATACAAATTATTATATTGTATCATATACCCCAATAATAATTTTAATATATTTCGATGAACGTACCTCTTTTGAATTGCTAAATCTTTTTCTTCATCTGTTGTAAATGGTGGACAAAATAAAATTCTGTATAACAACGTCATAGAATATTTTTCGACGTAATCTAATAATCTTTCTTTGATATCTGCAGATATGTCTATAATAATAATAATTGATATTATGCGTAACAAATATTTCATCTATTTTTTAAAACAAACAATAAATGATATATATAAAATAATTACCTGCATATTTAAAACTATTTTCTAAACGTTTAGCAAATACTTGATAAAAAGTCTGGGTTATTTCAGACAATTCCTCTATTCTTTTAATATCTTTATTCTGAAGAATATCAACTACGAATGAATGTATACATTTTCGTACATCTTTCTCAACCGGTGTTTTTGCAATCGATGCAATAAGATCCCTATTTTCAGCTTTAACTTTTTCAAGATCTGGATTATCCTTAGTTAATTCGTAAAGTAATTCTTGACATCCTTGTACTTAAAAAAAGAAGAAAAATAATTATTAATGAATAATAGTATTCATATTACTTTAAACAGTAGAAATATGATTAAGATATATAAAAAACATATTACAGTAATAAGAAAATAATAATTTGAATACATTACATTTTGATGCAGGTTTACGAAAAGAAATATTTAATAATTTATACTTCTTTTCTTGTTGTGATTTCTTTTCTTCGTGTTTATGATATCCGGTAGGTAAAGTCTTATTAGACGTATCTCTACAATGACAGTAAACAACAAAATAACATTATATAAATGTAATTAAATAAAAATGAAAAAGGATACTCTTACACGTCGACAGTTTGTAAGTTTGATATATACTCTCTCTGTGCTCGTTGCTTTTGTAAATGTTCACGATGACATTTGCTGCAATAACCTTCCCATTCCGCATTGCCATAAAAACCACAACCATTTTTACATTTCAAATCAGCCTCGTCGATACGAAGCGTAGGTGTTTTCGTAGAATACATATTTTTATTGTTTTATTCTTCAACAAAATTAGAGAAATCCATAATATATAAAATATTATATATTTTATTAAGTTTCATACAAAAATACAATCTTAAATACTTCAATGTTATTACGATAATTTCTTCTATCTTGCAAATTGTATGGAATTAATAATTAAAGCACAAATTAAACATAACTAAAAGTACAATCATCTTTCACCGGTTATTATAGACAGAATTATCAGAAAGCAAAAGATACAAAATTTATCGTCTTATCTTTATTTTTATTATTTCTTTAACTAATTTCAAGTTGGCAGCACTAATTTAAAGCACACGAAAGGTATAGGAAGAAATAATAAGGAACTATCCAAAATCAGCACCGAATGTATACAGCACAATTTAAATGTTAAACTGCAAGTTATATTCTGCAGTTTTTATTGTATATCAACAATTGTTCATTACTTAACATTACTGTGAAATAGAAAATATATATAATATAATGAATATATTTATTTATCTTCTAAATATAGTTTAACGTTTGACAAATTTATCTACCCAGGGCATTTTAAATTTTATATACGTCTTTGAAAAAATGTGCATCTACATGCATATTATTTTTTTTAATTTTCTAGGAATATTCTCTATTTACTATTTCTGCAGTTCTTTATCGTTCCACCAGAGAAGAATTTAAATCCCTATAGAGTGCAATTATCATAAAAATGATTGGTTAAATGGAACGTTGTTGCAGTATTAATGAATGCTAGGTTTGATAGATGGCGCTGTATTAGATAACCTAACTTATACGACAAAGTACAATGCACTTGTGCTCACGTACATACATAGTACACGTGCATTTCATTCATGTTTTGAAATTAAGCGAATAGTATTGTAATAATAATTTCAATATATACGTGAAATCTTTTCTTATTTTATTTTATTGAATGAACAAAAATGTTTACTGAACCAAAATTGACCAATACTTCTCCAAATTTTGGAATACCACCAGATAAACAAAATCCTGTAAGTTTATTTATTTTTTAATATTTCAAATAATTGCATATATAAATAAAAATATCTTTTGTATGTATTTCAGTTATTACAAAATTTAGGAACTCCACATATAGATTCTTTTAATTACATGCTTGAAGATGGACTTTTTACAGCCACTAAAGATATACTACCGGTTCATTTACAACTTGCTAATGGCGATAAAATCAAATTATGGATAAATGATGTCTCCATTTATCATCCAAGTATTCCTTCAAATGTAATTGGTGTAAAAAATTATAAAATATATCCTACGGAGTGTAGACAAAGAGGTGCTACTTATAAAGGAAAAATAGCAATTCAGTTAGGATGGTCTGTAAATGGTAACGAAGGAGAAATGCTAGAAAAGGATTTAGGGTATATCCCGATTATGGTTAAAGTATACATTTTTATAATACATAATTTGTCTGTTAAAGTTGTTTGTAATAGAAAGATTACAATAATATATATTTTAGTCTAATAGATGTCATCTTAATAACATGAATCCGAGTGAATTAATTGCTCATAATGAACACGAACAAGAATGGGGTGGTTATTTTATAATTAAAGGACACGAACGACTCATACGGATGCTATTAATGTCCAGAAGAAATTATCCTATTGCAATTCGAAGATCTGGATGGAAAGCTCGCGGTGCACAGTTTAGTGATCTTGGATTACTTTTAAGAAGTGTTCGAGATGATAATACTTCATCAGTAAGCGCATTATTGTTGATGTTATTTAATTTTTCTACTTGTATTCTAATTATTGTTATTTTTACTTTGCAGAATAATACATTGCATTATGTTACCAATGGATCTGTCAAATTAATGTTTGTCCACAGGAAAACTTTATACTACATACCTCTTATTTTAATGCTAAAGTGTTTAGTCGATGTTTCGGATATTTTTATTTATAATGCTTTAATGGCTGGTTGCGAAGATGATTTGCATTATAGAGGATGTATTTTAAATATGTTACATGCAGTACATAGTGAAGATTTACATACACATGAACAATGTAAAGTATATATAGGAAAGATGTTTCGAGTTAAATTTTTTGAATTATCTCAAGATGCAAGTGATATAGAAATTTGTGATTTCATTATTAAGTAATTATTGTTTTAATAAATTGTTTGCTTATTTATTGATGATTGTTTTATCATCGCTTATACATTATTATTATATTACAGGCACTGCGTTACCATACATTTGGATGATCCATTCGATAAATTTTATTTACTCGTATTTATGACGAAAAAACTTTTTGCTGTTGCTAATAATAAGTGTGGCGTAGAGGGTGCCGATTCTGTAATGATGCAAGAATGCTTATTAGGTGGTCATTTATATTTACAAGTGTTAAAGGAAAAGTTATATGGATGGCTTTCAAATCTTAAGAATTTAATTATTAAACGTGCCAGAATTAATGGCTGTAATTATATTTTAACAATACGTAAGTATATTAATATTGATGTACTATTTATTTCAAATACTTCTAATATATATAAAATATAATTCTAATAATTGTGTATAACCCTAGAGGAAATGTTACATACAATGAAGTATGGAGGATCCTTCGAAACACAAATGGAAAATTTTTTGTCTACTGGAAACTTAAAGACTCCTACAGGATTAGGTTTGATGCAAACTAGTGGACTTACAATAGTTGTAGAAAATATTAACAGAATGCGTTACATGAGTCATTTTCGTGCAATCCACAGAGGTTCCTTTTTCCAAGAAATGAGAACTACAGAAGCAAGGCAACTTTTACCCGATGCTTGGGGTAATAATTTATTATATTTTTTAAATAATTTAGTATGAAATTATATTTGACATCCTTGTATAATTGTTAATCTTAATTATTCTAGGATTTATTTGTCCTGTGCATACGCCAGATGGTACACCATGTGGTTTACTTAATCACTTAACTATGAATTGCATTGTTACAAAACATCCAAATGCCAAATTAAAAGCTGCTATACCAACAGTATTATTAGATCTTGGAATGATACCTATTAATTTTGCTGATGATTGGAAAGATTCATATACTGTTATGTTGGATGGGAAACTAATTGGGCTTATCGATGATAATGCAATAAACAGAGCCGTGGATAAGTTAAGAATACTTAAGATAAAAGGCGAAGAGGTATGTAATTTTATTCAAATAATAAATAATTATATTAAATTATTTTTTTATTTATATACGAGAGGACTTAAATCTTAGGTACCTCCTACAATGGAAATAGTATTAATTCCAAAGAGAAAAGTACCAGCTCAATATCCAGGATTATTTTTATTCACTAATCCCGCACGTATGATGAGACCGGTATTGAATTTAGCTACCAAAGAAACAGAACTTATTGGAACGTTTGAACAAGTTTATATGGATATTTGTGTGGTACCAGAAGAAGCCTATGATGGTGTAAATATCTTTTTCCAATTAATTTACTTTTAATATAATTATATACTAATATTATATATATATATGTTTCTCTATTAATGTATATTTAACATTTGCAGTTAACTACTCATCAAGAATTAACAAAAACTTCGTTCTTAAGTAATTTGGCATGTCTTATTCCTATGCCAGACTGCAATCAAAGTCCAAGAAATATGTATCAGTGTCAGGTAAGTATCTTGCATACAGATAAAATACAAAAAAAAACAAAAATTATTATAAATTAGATAATGTCACAATATAATAATTTATAGATGAGTAAACAAACAATGGGTACACCATGTCACACGTGGAAACAACAATCAGAAACAAAATTGTATAGATTACAAACACCAGCAAGTCCCTTATTCAGACCAGTGCATTATGATAAAATAGATATGGACGATTTTGCCATGGGTATCAATGCAATTGTAGCTGTTGTTTCATATACAGTAAGTAATCGTAGCTGTATGGTGATCATTATAAAAATATCTATTAATTAATTTCATAATATACACATTATTTTTAGGGATATGATATGGAAGATGCAATGATTATTAACAAATCTGCTTATGAACGAGGTTTCGCTCATGGAATGGTTTATAAATCAGAATTCATTGATTTAAATGATAACAAAAGTTATTTTGCACGCGATCCGAATAAACCTTTTCTCGCAGAAAAACTAGACTCTGATGGTTTACCTATACCTGGCTGTATGATTTCAGAAAAAGATTATTATTATTGGTAAATGATTTAGAATCAATAATACTTATTGTCATAGATAAATGATATACCTAAATATGTTTTACTTATTATATTATGTTAAATTATTTATATAGTTATTATGACGCTGAACAATCTCATTATGTAACTGGAAAATACCAAGGAAAAGAAGACGTATACGTTGATACCGTAAAATTATGTGGTACTTTAAATCCTAATACTCCAAGAAGAGCCTGTATCACATTTCGTATTTTAGTTCGTATAATAATATACATTTTTTGTATTATTAAATTATTTAATATAATTATAAAAAAACATAAGTAATATTTTTACAGAGGAATCCAAGCGTTGGCGATAAATTTGCTTCAAGGGCTGGACAGAAAGGTATTTGCTCGCATAAATGGCCAGCTGAAGATTTACCATTCACCGAGTCAGGTATTATACCAGATATAGTATTCAATCCTCATGGTTTTCCAAGTCGTATGACAATAGGTAATTATGACCAAGCGTTTTAACATACATTATTTATATTTTAATAATTTATCTTTCGAACCTAAAGAAAATATTTATTGTCGTTTTTATTTAAGCTATGATGATCGAAGTAATGGCTGGAAAGTCTGCGGCTGTACATGGATTAGTGCACGATGCAACGCCATTTAGATTTGATGAGAATGAAACAGCAGTCGATTACTTTGGAAAATTATTAGAACGTGGAGGATATAATTTTTACGGTACAGAAAGAATGTACTCTGGTATAGATGGACGTGAAATGACAGTAGATATATTTTTTGGAATTGTACATTATCAAAGATTACGTCATATGGTATCAGACAAATGGCAGGTTCGTATTTTTCGATTTTTAATTATAATAATGATGTGAATTATGTGAAGAGACTATAATTTCTGTTTAAAAAACAGGTAAGAAGTACTGGTCCTATTGATGTATTAACGAGGCAACCAATTAAAGGACGACGACGTGGTGGTGGTGTCCGATTTGGAGAAATGGAACGAGACTCTTTAATATCTCATGGATGCTCATATCTTCTTCAAGATCGTCTTTTCCATTGCTCCGATAAAATAACCGTAAGTAGTGTCATTATTTTTTTATATTCTAACTCAAAAATATATTTTTTTTTTTTTTTTCAAATGTTATTTTCTAGGCTTTAATTTGTAAAAAGTGTGGAACGTTGTTAGGACCTATTATAGAATTATCAGTAAGTCCAACAGGTTTGACTGAAAGAAAACAAAAGTGTAAACTTTGTGGGGATGATACTTCTGTAGGAGAAGTTGATATTCCTTACATACTTAAATATCTTGTAACTCAATTGACTTGTTGTAATATTAATATTCAATTATCATGTACAGAAAAATGAAGAACAATTGAATATTTAACATTTTTATATATATGTATATATTTATTTTTACTAACATTCCTTAAATTTTAGAAATTTGTTTGTACTACTGTCTAGTTATATATTTGCTGCTATACAACATTTACAATTAAAGAATTTTGCATATATGTACATAATAAGATTGTCTGATTCATTAATTATTTATACGTGGAAGCAATGAATCAGATTTCACAGAATAGCAAGACAGTGGAATATTTTTTTTTCTTCCATGGACTATCTTGTTTTCTTGCAAATTATGTTTTTTTTTTTGTACATAATATTAATACACAGTGTGATATCAATCTATATAGATTATAAATTATTATATATCGTCTGAACACGTACATAATCAATATTTAGTAAAGGCGTAAGCATTTATATAATTGCTTATCCAAGAGGCTACTAACTATAACAAAATATTATTAAGCCTTAGCAGGAACTTGTGTTCCAGATTTACTTCCCGTTGTTCCAGATTTACTGCCCGTTGCTCCAGTTTCTTTTTCTAACTGTTTTCCTAAATATTCCCTATAGGCAAATGTTTATGCAATGAAATGTAATACATCTATTAAGAATTTAATTTAATTATTTCTTTTTTTCTTTTTTTTTTTTATTCTTACCAATTGTGCACCATAAGTTTTTGAACAGCAAGAAGAGCCTCATATCTTACATTTGGATCCTCATGACTCAACAATTGCATTACTCGTTGTTTACCACCCAATTGTTCAATAATACTAATAAATACAAATAGTGCATGATTTATACTATCAAATAATATAACATAAACTGTAATCAGAAATGATCACGTTAACTTACTGTTTTCCTCGTGGATAATGACGCACATACTCTCCAATATCAAAACTAGCAACGCTTAAAACAAGAGCATCTTTACTTGTTTCCAATATATGAACTAAGATTCGTAAAAGTTCATAATTCTTTTCATTTAATCTACTAGCATTTTCTCGCCAGAATTTTCCAGATTTATGAACAGGTGACCATTCGAGACGTCCAGATTTAACTTCCGTAGAATATTCATCAAATGAACTTAAATCTTGTACAGATGCTTGTAATTTATCATTCAAAAACTCTATATCATCCGTGATATCCTCGTCGTCGAATTTACGTTGCGATAGAATAGATAATTGTTTCAATACTTTACATTGAACCATTGCAATGCAATGTTCCTTGGCTACTTGACCATCCTCAACTTTTTCGATAAGATTCTGTTAAAGAATATAGTGAAATTAAGAAAATATATAATCGTTTGAATATAAATTCAATATATTTTTAAATATTAAAAAAATGAATCTTACCCTAAATACTGCGAGAATAATTCGTGTCACTTTTTCTTTAACGGAATCACTCAATATATCCGCAAGAATGGGTATAACATTAAATCTGTGCAAATAACAAATGTTATACGTAATTGAATTAATTAAACACTCATAAAAATTGTACGTATTTTATATATTTTGTATCCACGTACTTATTCATTTTTTCTGCGAGCAATGGATTAAATGTTAGTACCCATAGACAGAAAATAAGTTGATATTGTACTTGGAAGTTTACTCTGCCAGACAGAACGCTCAAAAGTGTTGAAATTCCATCAACAGAAACAAATGCAAAACGGTATTCATCTACACGCAACATCATTTGAAGACACCGTCCAACAGACTGAATATATTCATTATTCTAAACGATCAAAAAACAGATAATGGATGTAAGTTTTATATAATAATATTTGTTTGACGTACGAGATAACTAACAGCATTCAATTTACATTTAATATTATCAAAAATGAAATCATTATTTTATTCGGGTAAAAATCTAAAAAAGCAACTAAACAAACTACAAACAGAAAATTTGCTTAGTTACATAAAGATAATAAAATCAAATACTTATTCCAAATAATGAATTTGATATTTTGTCAATCGAATGAATGAAAGTCAATGTAAACTGATAGCTGTCCTGATACCTATTAATTATAATTAATTGTTAACTCAAAATTGAATTTTATTTGTGCTTTAATGAATGATTCTGCTCCCTGCACTACTTTCATATGCAATTTTTCCAAATATCAATAGTTATAATTAGTTATTACAAAACCAACCGGATTATGTAATTCGTGCAGTTCATTGGTCTCCCCTGCCTCCTCCATAGAAGTATCCTGCATTACTTCTGCATGCAAATCTGTCTCCTGAAGAGCTTCAAACTAAAACCCCATCTGATTTTGTTCATATATTCTACTCCTAACATACTAACGAATCATTTAACCCTTCACCGTATAAAAAGCAATAGAGATAATATCGTCAAATAAGTGTGAACTTAAATTATTAGATATTCATTTGATGTTAGTTTAATTAAATTCCCACATTTGTTAATTTAATTAATTTCCAAATTGTCATTCGTAACATATTTGATAAAACATATAATATATCAAATAGTATGGTTTATCAAGCATTTAGTATAAAGACAAGTAAGTTTAAAAAGGACGATTATTAAATTAGATTTTGTTTTGATTGTTCGGTTAAAATTGCTAAAACTTTAAATGCTAATAAAGTTTATGAAACATTCTTTCATAATAAGATCAGATTAATTCACAAAAGCACATTCTAATCTACGTAAGGTATTAGTAATATAAGTGCCTTGTTTATGCTCGACTATAATAAACATATTATCTAAATTAGATAGCAAAGCAAGATATCATTCAAGCAAATAATATATTAACATAAAATTAAAAAAATCATGCTTTACTAATATCCTGGAACAAATGATGAATTAAATAACAACATTTTTCTCATTTGTTTAGATTTAGATTCAATTATGTAAGTATTATTACCAAGCACTATACTTCTGAACACATAATTGAATATATTTAACAAACTTACGCTCAGTCTAAGTTGATCTTTCAGCCAAGTTAGATAAAATTGGAGATCAGTTTTTTCCATTAATTCATGACTCCAACAAGCTAACTTTGCTATAATACGAGAAGTCATATTTATTATAAAACCATCTTGCCTATTTAATAAATTAAGGAATGGTCCCCAAACTGATTCTCGTTTACGTGAAGAATGTTCTCGGAATATTTCAACGCGACTACGATCTTCCTAATAAAATTAAATATTTATTATATGCAAACATTTGAAAATAGGAATAATAACAGTTAATAGTTAAATACAGGAAATCGTACACGCGTATTATAGACAATGATATAGTTTTAAATTAAATACCTGAAGCATATCATCTATCATTGTAAGAATATACTGTGTAGTTTGTTCTTTTGAAATATGATCAAGAAGATTGAGAAAAGTCTTAGCAGCTTGGTGTGGATTTTCCTTCAGTTTTGCTTCCCGAACATTAGCATCGCTTGTATCAAAAGCTACTATGAAATCATAATCTTCTTTAGGTATCATTTGTGATCTACAAAATGAAAAGTAATACATATAAATGAAATGCATTTGAATGAAAAAACATTGAAATGCTTTTATTACAAGCTTAACCAGTTAGCTGTGATTGCTAAGTATACTTGTCATGAATAAATGATAATATTTATTAATATTATTATAATTGTAATCATCATTTTTCATTTGGATCAAAATAAAATAGGAAATGAAAATATACTTACTGTAAATATGACTGCCAATTGATTCTTTGATTTCTTATTTCAGCTGCTTGTTGCTGAAGAGTACTCGTAGCAGCCAGCATATCTGTAAACAATTAATATTTCAATATTTCAATAATTTATGTGACAAAATGAAAATATCACAAATAAGAAATAATAGAATATGTTTTGAAATCAAGGGAGTGGCATTGTCATATTAGAATGTCTATTTTATTAAGATTACTCACCAATTTTCTCGTCGGGTAACGCTGGGATAATTTCTTTAATATTTGCCCTTTCCACCATGTTTGAAGGCGATATTAAACGATGACGAATTTAATAAAAATTTTTTAAACGATTAAAATTAATGACTTTTAACTTTTATCTTCTTAAACTTTTCCAGTTGTCTCTGTGGTCACAAGACCAATATGCAGTGCCACCAACGTTATGATAAAACAGTTCAACCAGATCCACAAACTTTATAAAACCAAATATAACATATTCCTAAAATCGTAATGATTTTTTTTTTTAAGAGATTATAGTTTATTTAGAGTTTTTTATATTTTTTTAAATATCATATATTTTATAAGATGACTGTTTAAATATTTACAGGCCTAAATGAAGAACATGGATGAACATGAATGGAAATAATATTAACATATTTCAAATGATTAAACTAAAAGAAAAAACCACGTTGCAGGTATCAATATAACTCGTGATTTTTGTAAAAAGATGTTTATTCTATAAGTATTATTTGTGTGTGTATGTATAAAACTACTTTCTAACGATGTTTTTTTATTTTATTTTATTTTTCATGTATAGCCATCTCTTCACCTTATATATAGCTACCATCCTTGGAAATGCAATTTTGTTTATTTGTTTATAATTACGCGCAACCAAATCTTACTTAGTTTTCATCCTGTATAGCTAATTAATAAAACGAATTTGTTATTATCTTATAATTTTGATAACACATATGTTTCAAAATTTTTAAACAAAATCAAAAATAAACTTTCTATACAACGCTCTTTTACAGGAATCAATGAATTTGACAAAAATATAATCTTCTTTTGTTGCACATTTTCCTTTAAACAAAACATTCTATTCTCTGTAATGATAAATCTTTTCTTTTGCATTGAATAGTATAGTTAATAAAAGAAAGAAAAATAATAATAATAAAAAAAAGAGGAAAAACAAAAAAAATATTGTATGCGAGTATCTATAAAGTTATTTCTAAAGTACAATATCTTGTTTAATATTAAAATCTTTTTCTTCTGTGGTTCCTATTTCTGCAATCAATATAATAATTATATTGATATATCCAATTGAACTATAACGTCATTTCTTTTTTTATATTATCTTTCTTGTGTTTACATATATTTCACATAATGCGCGTATTTGTATAAAATAGATGTTATAGTTTATCATATCTAAGCTCTTTGACAACTGTATTATACTTCAATAATGTTATACAGCTTCATATCCCTATATTGTCACAATTGGTTAAAAGATTTCCAAGAATCTTTAAGTCTTATATAATATTAAATATAAATCTTTTTCTTTTTTTCTCCGTAGCGATTATAATCCTTGAAGAACGGAAGACTATTTATATAACATGGACATGTTTTTTTTCTTTCTCTTTCTCTCTTTCTCTCTCTCTCTCTCTCTCTCTTTCTATATATATATTCATTCATTTAGGTTTACCTAATTTGGACTATAGCCTGAATTATTTTAAATCTTTTACAAGTTATACAATATTTGTTCTTTCACGCATAAAAGAAGCACAAATGAAATTTGAAATTATCAATTAATATGAATTTCAATTATAACTATTACTTTTTATGATTAAAAAATATGGAGTCATAACTTTGTATCAAGCAATAAACATAGAAAATAGTCATTCGTTTCTTTTTCAATTTTTTTAACAGACAAATATTCATCTTTTTTTTTTTTTTTTTTTAAAGCTGAACGATCAACTTGTCATTAGATGTGCTATTTAAATTTCTTTTTTCTCTCTGTCTTCATCATGCATTTCCCATACACTCAATACCACAAAATATTATTTCTCTTCATATGTACAAAGTTACTTTCGCCGCCTTTTTCTAAATAACTAACTGTATTAGACATTTGCTTTGTCATTTGTTTTAATACCAATTCATTATGAATTGTTCAAAATACTGGCTAAGTTTTATGTATTTATGTTACCAGCTTTGTTTTAAAAATTGACATATACAAAATATTATCGTAATAAGGTTGATATAAGGTAATAAAATTACTGAATAATAATTTATAACATAGGTGGTCCAGTTATCATGAACATAATATATATATATATATGCAGATATACATTAAAAATCAGTGATTAATATTGACACTTTATCAAAATGGGAACTATATAAATAAAAAATAGAGGAAGACAGTTCATATATTCTATATTAGAAATTAAGTATTGCAAATTAACTGTATCCCTATATATATATATATATTAATTGATCCTGAGATCAAACATTGTTTTTTAGTGCTAATCATTCACCTAAATACAAATCGGGCTTTAAAGCAAATAAAATAAAACAAACAAAAACGTACAATACATCAATATGACAGTCTCATAAAATAGCAATTTCTATTCTTTTAGAAAAATTTCTCATCTCTACAAGGATCACTGATCAATTATATATATATATATTTATATATAAATATATTTCTTGGTAATTCTTTTTGCACACTACAAATTTGTCTATTTTATATTAAAATAAATATTTTTTTGATAAAACAAATTTACAAATTTACCAGAAATATATAAGATATTTTTTTTTACAATATAACAATAAAATTGTATGCTTTAAAGAGCATTTTTACAACAGTTATAACAATATCCACTTTTTGGCACATTATATATTTATATAGCGTAAAATTTGTAATATAGCATAGCAAAGTTTTAATTATATATGTATGTAAATATACATAATTTATGTATTTAATACAAAATTAAAGTTGTATTACATATATATATATATATTACAGATCTTACGCTATGTATTATTATAACGTTAAATCTGAATTTATCAGTCCATATTATGGCTGTAATAAAATACTTTAATTTGACGTTTAATTAATCATGTGTGTGAATTAATTTTGAAACAGAAAAATCTTTTGAATATGAAATATTTAATTTAAATAGTATATCTTTAAAAACTCCCGATGCATCTTTCTTTTTTTCAGTTTATATTATTTTTATTTATTTATTTAATTTCCTAGAGAAAAAAAATGTTTCATAGACTCGACAAACCGCAGTAGCAATAAGATTACCATCCTCGTTTTTGTTTTTTGTTATAAACATTTCAAATAATATATTCTTCGAGAAAATGTCATGTAGTATATCATGAATTTTATGCGTTATTTTCAATATATTTTGTATTCATTATTGGACCACTTTATTTTAGATTAAGATTTTGCAAATGAATTGCATTGTAGATTAATGACTATGATAATTGTTTATTGTTTTTAATTTTTTTTTTTTTTACGAAAAACATAAGTCGACTTTTCCAAATCACATGCTGACAGCATACAATTCTTATCAGAGACATACGTACGAATGTGCAAATGAACATTACCGTTATCTGTTTTCCTTTCCTTTGTTTATCACTTGAAATAAATTTAATATAATTAACATCGGGTTTTAGAACGAATTGTTCTTGAAAAATAAACAAGGAAATGAAACCATCGTTTGTCTACCTGATTTGTTTAATTCAACTTATGTAGCCGCTGTAATAATATTGTAGATTAAATATTTAAATCTATTGGAGCAGCATCATGGCTTTTAATACAGTTATTGTTTCTTCTAATAATGATTTATTCGTATGCATTTTAATTTAGCTGCCAAGCGCACTGTAAATACTATTTCATGAAAAGCTTAAATGAATATTTGTGCCTGCTCTGATATTTAAAGAAATATAATTCTATTTTATTTACTGATGTAACGCGTTACGTCATGTGTAAAAGAATAAAAAATGTAATATGAATTTTTTTTTAAATCGCTTTTTCCATTGGATACATACTAACTATTATTAACTATGAATTATTATTCGATTAACTACCTTATAAATAAGCAATTGGTCGACTGATGTTTTAAGTACACTTTTGTAACCGGGATATAAGACATTTTTATGCCATATTCTTAAGTAAGCAGAGAACAATATAAAATACTGGTTGCTTTATTACAATCATGAATAAAGGTAATTTCCGCCCCAATTACGAACTATACACATTATTGTAAAGAAGTCAATGGGACGGATTTGACCTATCTAAATAGATCGTAGCATTTTTTTAGTCCTACATCATATCAACTTTCTTTGTACAACGCTCATTATTGTAAAAGTAAATGCTCTGTGTGTCACCGTCAGTTATTTCTTTTTTCTTTTTTTTTTCAGTCTCATTTGCATCTACACGCATGCCGAACATTTCGAGCATAATTTAGGCCGCATCGAAATTGATATAGTTCAAGGCAGCGAGCATGCGAGTTTAATACGGAAGCATTTTGAGAGAAACGTTTTTTTCCTTCTTATTTTCTTTTAGACTTCAGCTTTCCAATATTCAGCTAAATTTATACGAACGTAACCCCCTCACCAAGTGCTAATATTATAGACCATGCGTATAATTCCAGTCATTTCGGTACTGGTTTTAACAGCTTTTTATTTACTTAGCGAATTCCAATTCCCTAAGCTTATGGACCCTATAAGCATGGAATCTGAAAAGAAAAAGTATCGTGAAAGTAATCGTTGAAAAATGATATCTATAAAAGATACATCAAAGTTAACTCACGGCATTGTTCACTGTCCCAACAATGATTTTAATGATCGCCTCGCAATAATTCCATTAACAGATTAAACGAGCTGCCTTCTCCTTCAGCACGTTTTGCACTCAACAATTCCTTGCCTACTTGACACGTTCTTTGTAAATCTGGAATCCTCAATAATAGTTCCCCAAATTTAGCAGGCATTTCTGGATATCTGGCAATAGTATATTGTTGAAGTGCCTGCAAAGCCTTTTCTTGAGAGGCCCTAACTTTGTCGGGTTCTTTCAATTCACTGGTGTCAGATGTCAGTAATACTATTACCTTTATTTAGAAACAGAAATGAAAAGATAATATCTAATTAATAATTATTTTTAATAATTATAGATTGAAAGAAAATCACATCCAATTGAAAAAGAAAAAGTGTTACCTTCATCGCAACGTATTCGTATTGATCCACCCTCAGCCTTCTCAAATTATTGGTGAAAGCTAGCATCCTCTCGATGCAAGTCGCTAAACCAAGCTGTCTGGCTTGTTCTAATGTGATCGACTTGCCGAGAGATACTCTTATTTCACCAGGAGTACTCATACTGCGGAAACAACAAGAGAAAAGCAACAACTCGCACCAAGAATTGATCAGTAGACAAATTTGATCGTCGATAGAAATATTTTTGAAAAGCGGCAAACTCTTACACCATTTAACTATTTTATAGAGACGATGATCGGCAATATTGCAAAGATTCGAAATAAAGTCCGGATGTGTCGATGGATTGCCATTAGAATTTCCGCACATTCGAGAATTACAATTGCCAACGTTGCCAGAGTTAGCCGATAATTGTTCGTGACTACCTGTCGAAGTCGAGTCTGTTGAACAAGGTCTTGCGATATTGTCGTCTCTTCTGTTATTAATATTATTAGTACCGTGTCCGTTGGTGGGACAGTCAGTACTAGAGCCATTGGTAGCAGATCCACTTCTACCTGAAGAAACATTAGCTCCAGCACCGTTTCCGCTTCCTAATAACATGTCACTGCCGGGAGCATTTCTACCTCCGCCCGAAGTTATCACACCAGATTGAATACCAGTTATACGATCACTGTCGTTGTAATGCCAAAGATGTTCCACGTCCATGATGTCTTGCAAAAGTTGTGGAACTACTTGTACTTTGTACGAATGATTCGAATGATGTCTGACAGAATAATGATGTTCACTGCCAGGCGGTGCAGGACTGCAATTACCAGCAGCGTTTATCTTATCGCCAGTCGTCATATTGTTTGCAGAACTACCGATGAAATTAGTCGGTAATGTATATGTACACTGATAAGTGCTCCTACCACCTCTGGTACGATCCTCTCTGATCGCTTCGAGCTTCATTCCCATATTGAGACACTTGTCGAATCGACAAGCAGGGCATTTCTTTCTTGTGGCAACGGTAACAGGACAAGCTGCACCCCTAAGGCACACATAATTTTTGCGATTCTGGACGGTCCTCTTGAAAAAACCCTTGCACGATTCGCACGAGAATATACCGTAATGAAATCCACTGATCTTATCACCGCAGATCGGACAGGGGCTATTAATTAACTGCTGTCTCGTGGAAATACCAGATGGTGCAGCAGGTATTCTACAGTCTTCTTGATCTTCTGTTCCAGGATGCCCATCCGAAGAAAGTTCCGATCCTGGCGCGGAAGAGGAATAATGGTGCGCGTTCACGGCCGAAGAAGCAGCCGTTGGAAGATGCAAAGGACTACCTTGTGCTACTTGTTGATGCTGATGTTGCGAGTGAGCGTGCGGATGTCGAGGTTGCTGGACGGGAGAATGCGTGGGTGGACTCAAAGAGCCATAACTGTAACAACTGCTCGAAGCGTCTGAATTGTTACGTGAAAGCGAATGAGAGAGGGAGAGTGACAACGAGGACGTCGAATTATTGAAACTATGTCGAGATAAGGAAAGCGAGGAAGAAGGAATAGGACTTCCTGCTCCCAAGGCGGAGTGTCTTGCAGCGTGAGGACTTTGTGTCGGAGAACTGAAGACACTGTATGCAGAATGAATAGCTGAATCTGGCGATGGTACCTACGATGATCAGATCAAACAAAAATATTATTTCTACAAACTTACAGGATAATAATTGTAAGTAAAGAAATAATCAGGAGAAGAATCATTTTTCATTACCTGCGATCGCGTGTGACTGTGTTTGGTCAAATGATGTCTTGGATTAAGAACCGGACTGTGATTTGGAGTAGAACTGTTATAACCGCCCAATAATTTTCCCACGAGAAGAGGTAAATCACTCTGTTGAGTTTGTTCAAGATTTTCGATACCACGTTGTTGCTGTAATTGTTGATTGTGACTTAAAGATAAGTTTCCCGAAAGCCCGTATCCTGAACTCGATCGAAAATCTGGTTCTGGTTTTATTGGAAACTTCTGTTCCATAGGTCCAGGACTGGAACCGCAAACTTGAACACCTTCCATCGACGTTTCTTCGTGATCGTCCTATTGGAAAATAAAGTCAATTAAATAATGTTGGCTAATTATTATTGCAAGAAATATTTTCTATGCAATATATCATAATAATAAGGGGAGATGTGCAAAGGTTTGTATAATTTTTTATTAGCGTATTCACCTGATTAGTAAGGGTATTCGAAGACATTTCTTGATCGGATAGCTCTCCTTCCCATGACATAGGTCTCTCTGGTTGTTGTTGTTGAGACGTATCGTTGCCGTCGCAAGCTCCGCTTTCACCTTCGCCATCGCAATCGCCGATTTTCTCACCGCTCTGATTTACGGAGATATCTCGTTTCTTCTTGGTTCTTAGATTGACACCGCGGAAGTCGATCTTGCTTATTTCACCGTCGCTGTCGTCCGCGTCGTCGATATTCGTGGCATTTGAACTGAGAATACCGATCCCGATGCCATGCGAGCCCACGTTGCTGCTGGTGCTACTCGTGCACCCGAGTACCGAGCCGCAATTTGAAACTACGGACACCGTCACGCCATTTTGACCTCCTAGATATTTACAGATGCCTTTCCCTACGAAACATTTCATTGATTACTTTTATAATTATTTAAATCTTATGGATATTATATTAATTATATCTATAATAAAAAGTTCATTTTCTTATAATAACCATTTGAGTCCCAAGCCCCAGATCTTTAAATTTCATATTGAAATATTGAGTCTCCCTAACGCTACGAATTTTTCTCTCGATAAGATTGTCTTTTTCTCAATAAGAGCCCCCCTCCCATTGAGACTCAAATGGACAAAATTTTGTCGACATATTTAATTGTTTACCATCGTGCATCTCGTGATGCGTAGGTGGGACATTGATCGCAGTTACGGAAACGTTCTTCCCCGTTTCCGTGGAACGAGTAGTGGTCATCGTGGAAGAATTACCGATGGACGATGAAGAACAACAGGTGGACGAGGACGTTGGTGAAACCGATGAGCCCACCGATCCGGTGGAGGGTGCGGTGGTGGCGGCGGTGGCAGAAACGGAAGTGGTGCCGCCGCTTGTACCGGAGGTAGAAGACGACGACGAGTTAGATCCAACGGAACCGGACGATTTCCAGGATTGCGTTGACGGCCACCAGCCTGGGCCAGGTCCCGGGCCATCGCCGGGCCCGTTTTGCTCCGACATCCTCAGCTGGTTATACTCCTGTACGCTCTCAACGCTACTCGAATCCTCTCGATCTTCGTAAAATTATACACCATCCTGAGCGCACCTTTAATCCACACCCGTCCGTCCGTCTGCCTTTCCCTTCGATGAGACTCCTCAATCAATTATAATCAACTTTTGTCCTTTTTTTTTTCTTTCAATACCAATCAGATTTCCGTCAACTCACAGGTCTTCCTTTTTCTATAACTGAAAAGAGACAAATGTCGTATTGTCATCGGTTACGATTGAAATATGTGAAATGTTAACAACAGTAAAATGTCCCTTATTAAATTATTAGTAATATTTCAAATGAATCGTTGAAATATGGAAAGATCGATATTGAGAGTATTAGACTTCCCCTTACGGATTTTCTAAGAAAAAGAAAAAACAAAAAAAATACGTGTACGAGATGAATATCATAATTTCAGGTCATTGCCCGCGTGCCACTAAGATTGGAACCTGTGTCACGCACCATTTTTCTACGTCCATCTTACACATATTATCTTCAGGTCATTGATTCACGCTCTCTTGGATGATGCTACGTGATTCCCATGATAGAATGCTGCGCACAGTTGTGTGCACTTCGTCTATAATTCAAAAGAACTCTCATGCATATACATGCATACGTAATATACATATATTACATAAGAGTACGATGTCAAAGGCGCATCGAGTGGAACATTTTTAGAAATTTTATATTTTAAAATAAACCTATTCTATGTATATTTCGTGTTGCAGTGCTTTCTCAACAAACGAGAGACAAGAAGAATCAGCAAAGGTACAAAAAAAGAATAGGAAAATCTTGCGGTCCCCATCTGCGGTAAGGAAGGACACAGTTGCAGACATATTCTACGATTCCTTTGATGCATCAGCAATGGTAAGTAACCAACGTGTGTAACTTACAGGAGGTATTCATTGCACAATTATATTCGAGATAATAATATTTACAATTATTTAACTAAGAGGAAATCCTACTCTAATCTTATTTTCCTAATTACAGATTAGTATAATATACACCTATGGATTTTATGATTCATATAAATCTAATACTAATAATACTTAAGGAAATTGATCCTTGGTAATATAAGCGTCACCTCGTAGACGCAAAATGTTACATGCTCGTTCGCAAGTCGGAACTACGACTGGGATGATAATGGAAACGACAGATGAGACAGAAAGAAAGAAAGAAAGAGAAGAGAAGAAGGGAGAAAGAGAGAAAGAGAGATAACGCAAAAAGTTGCGGTCTTTCGCGAAGAGTCATAGACGGTCGAGAATCGTGCTCTTCTACTAAGTCGTTGCATGGTCGGGGCCACGGTGGCGGCTATGGCTATGGTTATGGTGGTGTGGTGATCATGGTGGTGGTGGTGGTGGTGGTGGTGGTGGTGGTGGTGGTGTGGCGGTTGCGGTGGCGGTGGCGGCGTCGCCCGTAAGGTCAAGGCCCTCTGCAAGCGCCCTACCCGACTCTTATGCACCTTCGGGGTCACGTGACGCGGCTCAAGGTCTTCTCTCCCCACTCCTGCAAGCATTGCACGGCCACGCCATGCCACCCGCCGTTACCACCGACGGTGCAACAAGCGTGTCCCCCTTCCTCTTGTTGCCCTCTTGCTTCCCTACTCTTCTCTACCCTACCCTACCCTACCCTACTGTACCCTGCCCTACCCTTCCCTTTCCTCTCTGTCTTCCTGGCCCAACTCTCTTGTCCCTCGTCGTCTTGAATGCGCCTGCTGCTGCCGTTGCTGCCTCATCTTCTCGGTCGTTCCAAGTCGCGTAACTTCTCTCCCGAGGAACTTCTATGAGCGTGGATTCGGCTTTGAGCCGTTAGTACAAGTACCGTTTCGTTTCTCTTTATAGATATATATGTATATGTGTATATACGTACACACATCTATATATCTCTATGTACACGCGTATGTATATACACGATCTTGCAATAATATTTCATTCCTCTTCTCGTTCATTAACGTTTTTTTCTCTCTCCATTGACTCATTTCTTCTCACGAAGTTTCCATCCTTCGTTTCATGATCATATTTTCGTATTTTTTTTTTCAAACAAAATCGACCTTCGTTTTACATAACAAAGTGTTTATTAACGGTATAATAAAGTGTTCAATTATCAATTAGATTCTTTAGATCACGTTTGAGAAAATTCATTTGATAGGTAGATAAATACATAGATATATTTCAGGTGAATCTATTTCTCACTTTACACGGGGGAGGGACCATAGGGGAGGAGTAGTATCGTAACGATTTAATGCGTGCACTGAGGTGGTTTTCTATTATAACCGCAGCCTCGAACAAATATGATCTCTCCTCTAGAGAGATATAACCAAGAGAACAAAAGCTATCCAAGTTTTCCGTGGGTAATTTCAAAAAAAAAAAAAAAAAATGCCATAACTGTGGTTTAAAATGTCAAGGAATTCTAGACGTAAGATTAGGTAAGAAAATGGTGTTACAAGTAATACCGTTGTGTGTTCTTTAAGTATCTCATTTCAAAGAACAATTTCATTTGAATTTTGTTATCCTTTCTTTTTTTTAACAAACCAAATTTGTTTTTAGTTACGACAACAACGAGTACGTGCAACCAGCAACAACAACAACAGATTTCAAAATTACGATTCGATGAGACGAGTTGTTGTATAAACGATATGGCAGGTGACACGGAAGAGAGAGATCGACGACCCACGAAGATTACTATATGTACGACGACGACGACGACGACTCTATTTTAAGCGGGTCGAAAGTATACACCACGCCAGGAGGAGTCCTCTCGTGAAGAGAAGTGTCTCTTCTCTCACAGAAGTTGACCGTGAAAGAAACGCAAAAGAAGAGACGAGCTGCTTGCTGTTCTGCTTGTAACTGTATTACGTTTGCTGTTGCTGTTGCTGCTGCTGCTACTCTCAGTCGGCAGTCTCCTCTTCCTCCTTCACCTCCTCCTCCACCTTCACCTCTTCTTCCTCCTCCTCTTTATCCTCTTCGTCTCGTCTCGTCTCATCTCGTCGTGTCGTTCGTTCTTGTTGAGGAAATGCGAGTCAAGTACAACGTCCGCTTGCGTCGGCGTCTCCTATCAGGGATGATGATTGTTCGCAATGCATTTTTTACGGGTCGATCATTCAAAGAAGATCACACACACTCTCTCTATCTATCTCTTATACTTCGTTTACGATGATTCATAAACAAGGAAAGTCGTCTTTGATAATCTCCTGATTTATTTTTCTTTTCTTTTGAATTTAATTTAATTATCTCAAGAAAAAAAATGGACAAACTAATCTGATCATATGTACAATTTTATTATGTTACTTGAGTAATATAATTATGAGATAATTAGCATAATAATAAGTATGGATTGGATTCGTTCATGAACGAAATATGAACGGAAGTCGATCTTAAAACATTGTGTGTGTGGTACGACACGAAGACGACGACGACGACGACGAGTATTCGAACGGAGGAATGAACGAACGAACGAACGAACGAAACAAAACGGTACCTCGAACTTTAAGTCTTTCTTTTCTTTTACTCTCAAAGGCCTTCTCTTCTCGCCGCGTATATAAAACGTCTCGCTTATCTCATGTTGCACTTCCTTCGTCTCGCACGTGTGTTTTTCTTCGCGATACCGCTCTTCCTCTCTCTCTTTCTCTCTCTCGTAAGAAATACGATGTATTGAATTCACTAATGTAACTATACATGTATGTACATATTATTTATGCTCACGCGCGCGTGTGTGTGTATACTTTTTTATGTGTTTACATATATAGAAATAAAACTCGAATGGAAAACAAGATAAAATATTTTCTAGTCTCTCTCTTTCTCTCTAAATGGTTCGAATTAATAATAATCGCGTTTACTACGATGAAACATGATTCCACGTTCGTTGTCGTGTGTGTTCGATACGAATATAAGATTAGACAAAGCTACCGTAGAAGACTAGACAGAGTGAAAGAGTGAAAGAGAAAGAGTTAAACTGGCTTTGTCGAGAATTTCCTTTTGATACTTTACTCATAATATGTCGCCGCTACTTCGTCGTCGGCAACCCGACCGATGCAAACAAAGGGCAAGCCCAAAGAATGTCAGTCATATTATGCTAACTATAGCGGACCCTTTCATATTTACTTAGTATGTTTCATACATTTCTAAAGGATTAGTTAGAAAATATGGTAATAATATTCTTTGATTAATTTAAAAAAATATCCTTATAGTTTTGTTTGATTTCATTTAAATACTGTTATAATATATTATATAATATATCATTACATTCGATTCAAATATATTATAATATGTTAAAATAATGTTATAATAAAATTTTGCAATGTTCGTTGCAATGCAACCGTGTGGATAGATATTCCGTGAAAATTCCTTGTCTCTTAGGTTGTGTTGTATGTTGTTACGTTACGTTACCAACAAGAAGCCTTCGTTCTCTGTGGAATCTCTATCTCTATCTCTATCTTTCTCTCTTTTTCTATCTTTCGTATCAGTCTCTCTATTTCATCGAAGGTAGGCGCGAGACTCGCGCGTTTTCCTTTCACCCGGGCCAGTGGGCCTTGTCGAGCGGGGCCAGCAGCAGCAACAGCAACAGCAACAGCCACAACCACCACCACCATCGCCATCGCGCATATCTTTGATATCTCACGAATATATAGGAGACCCACCGAGTGTCGGAGGATACCCATACCCAGTGGCCTGAGCTGCGTGTCGATTAAAATTATTATTACCAGCCGTGGGGCATTTTTGACCGGCGTAAAGAGAAAGAGAAAGAGAAAGATAAAGAGAGAAAGAGAGAGAACAACCGGTTCGATTCGTGAACGGCTTGCGAGCAGCTGTCGTCTCACTGGGACCGAACACAGCCAGGCCCCCGCCGCCACTGACATGAGAGAGTACCGAGAGACCATTTTCTTTTCCAAATGCACCATCGTCCAGATATCCCCATGTCCCCCTCTACCCTCCCCCTCTTTGATCTCCGTTCAATCTTTTTCAAAACCTTCTCTAAATCTAACTAGAATAAATTGATTTCCTTTTAAACGATTTTCACGATTTACCGATCACAAACGATTGAGAAATTGATTTTCTCACGAGGGTTTAACACGTTTGAAATATGATATACGAGAAATAAGATATAGAAGTTGTTATTTTAATTGATGCAATAAAAAAATAAACACGAGCGAGTTATCATGCAATGATTATTTACGAGAATAAGAGATTAGATTTTCATCGAAGTTTGTCTCGATTTAACTCGAAGAAAAACAATATAAGATATAAGTATATATATATAATAGATGTACATATGTATATATGAATAGAATTTTTTTCCAGGCATAATTTTTTTTGTTTCATCCGGAAATTGTTAAACGATTCGTCAGTCCACCCCTCCCTCCCCCACCCACTCCCAAGTCCCGATGATAGTGGAACAGAGAGAGAAGATATCTCGTTCGACACGTCATACCTCAAAGATCGAGATCGGGAACGCCAGTATACACACACAGACACATACACAGACACACACCTTCTTCTCCTCGTTAGTAAATACCTGTTACTCTCGGGTCATTTGCATTTTCGATCGTCCGCGTCAGAGGACAGGCTCGCCGCTGCTGCTGTTTTTCTTTTTTATTTTATATTCTTTGCTTTGAGAGAGAATAAAAATAAGAAGGGTGTAGAAGAAGAAGAAGAAGAGGACGGAGGGAGGGTCTTGATTTTTCTCTGAGAATAATACTTCTTCTTAAGACTCGTGGAACGCGGCGAGTGTATGTACTCTTGCACGCATCCGACGCGCATACGTGTGTTCGATTGATGATGGTGGTGATGGTGATATGGTGGTGGCGGCGAGTTAAGTTAACTACTATCGAATCTCCCCGCTACCAAAAGAATGCCATACCCGAGAGAGTGCAACGGAGAACGGGAGGCCGGCCGTGCGACGCAGCGAGATCGGTGCACGTAACTGCAGTGGCGTAGTAACCGCTTCTTCGAAGGAAAACCAACGAACCAATGAACCAACCAACCAATCGATTATTTCGCGTCTCGAAAGAAGAACAACCCTATTATAGATGATATTTTTCATTTATTTTTTATATTAAATAATCATATATCGAATAATAATTCACAGAAACAACGCAATCTTCAATAAAACGAATACTTGCTTCATTTTTTTTACATTAAAACAAAGAAAAAAACACTGTCATATAAATTAGTACTCAACGAGGGGGGGGGGAGAAAAAAAAGAAGAAGAAAAACGTATAACAAATTTGCAAGGTTCGGATTGCGGGGTGGCGAGCGATGGGGTGGACAAAACATGGCGTTGTCGCAAGAATGACCCTACAACACATAATATCCGAAGAATGAACGGACGACGAGGAAGGGGGACGAGGAAGAGGAAGATCATTCCCGTGGTAGAAACGAGTGATCGAGGTGCGGTCGAGGAGCCGGTGCGTCGAGAAAGGTTCATCAATATTCATAAGTCAAGCTAGGCCTATCCGCGTCTCAAGGATTGAGGGAGCTTCCAGCTTGTGTGGACTTCAGAGAGCTCGTGAAGTTGCGTGGCGTGGCCCTCTCTCTCTCTCCTCTCTCTCTCTCTCTCTCACCTCTCACTCTATGTTCCTTAGTGTGTGCCAAGAGAGGCACAAAGTGGATGGGCATAGAAGAGAGTGTATGTATGTGTGTACCGCGTTGATTACACATGGGCCGTCGTCGGCAGGACACGAGAGAGAGCATTACAAGAAGGTATGTATATAATGTGTATGCGTGCATTTATATGCGTATGTGTACTACGTGGTGCACATAGAAATGTATGTATACAGAAGGAGGAACGATAAGATCGAGTAGAAGGAGCCTTGCGCAATCTCGTATAGCGATTACTACGCCAAGTGTGGATGTGTATATGTGTGGAGTTCTCTCTCTCTCTCTCTCTGTATATGTGTTATGTTCACGAGAGAGTACAGCAGCAGCAGCAGCAGACAGACAGACGGACAGACTCGTCGCCTTTACCTCCTCCGCCTTCTACCTCTTCATGACACCAATGACGAGGACACGTCTGTGCGATTTTCGCAACGTAACGTTGAACGCGTGCGCGCATCTCATGCGTACGCGGATTATGCACTCTTACATACATACATATATATGCTTTATACTCGTCAATCATATATACGTGTGCATACATTCTTTCCATCGCATATATAGTATGTGAACTTATTATACATTTATACACACGTGCGTCTCGTTATATTAATTGTTAAATGACTGAAGTTTTACGCACATTCGATGATTCCACCGATAACCATAACCACCATCATCATTACTATAACAACAATTACTGCAACCAAGTCTTTGGACTTGGATTATTCTAGTGCGATCTCTAATTCGATGTGACTACTCGTTGTGGGAACAAAACGAAATCGTTCCGTCCCTGACAAGAAGATATGCAACGTCAAGGATGCACGTTTCTCAGGATAGCTGAAGATTAGCGATCGAGAATGTAATAACGAGACGCGCACAGCCTTTTACGATCGTTTACGACCTACTTGAAATCGAGCGTTCGTTCTTTCTTTCCTTCGGTTCTTTCCTTCGTTCATTCGTTCGCTGTTAAGTGAGTTACGTCACGACGCGAGAGATCGCTCATTTTTTTTTTTTACTTTTCACACTCGCGATTCGAATCGTCGCGATTGAAAGTGCGAGAAGGGAGACAAGACTAGCAAGCAAGCCATCGATCCACCTACGAAAGAATCCAGGTGGGGCATGTTAAGAACTATAATTATTCATTTGGCCTTCCGTATTGCTTATACATATATATATATATATATCTAGATACATGCATGAGGAAACGATAAGTTACTTATCGATATATTATACCTATATTAATCTTTTTAAACGTTCAGCAGCAACAGAGACTTGGAAAGTCTTACTAATACTACTAATAGTTACCGATGTTATTCACAGGGGAAAAGTATGGCGACCGAATTGCTCGGACATTAATATATCGACTCTTGCACAATAGAAACCGGATCGCGAAAGGTCCATTCTGAAGTCTCTTGATCTCAAAAAACGTGTAGCACGCATTAATAGATAACGTGAACGATCGCTTGACCGTTCTCTATTGGATCTATCCCAGAGCTCTTGTATTTGATTTATTTCTGATATATATAAATATATCTGTATGCATGTACGCGAGGGTGGGTTAAAAAGTTTACAAGACTATGTCACAAAATAATAGTGACAGATAAAAGACACACACATATATGTATAGGATAGATCAGACGACAGGATTAAACTATAATTATTCTTATATATATTTTTTTTTTTGATTAATAAGAATTATAATTCCATTCAATGTAAAATGGAACTCTCTAATATCCAAACCTTTTACCGTTGACATGCTTCATTATCAAGACATTCTATTATCCGAACATGCTGTAGACACTTTCCTGCTCGTGTTATCTGCTATCATAACAAATGGTCGACTGCAAGTAATGTATTCTTTTGTAGGATATTATATTCGTTATATATTTATTCATCATATTACAAACCTCCCAATTTAGTTTTCACGTTATTACATCATTCTTTCTTTTCTTTTTATTGTCTAATTACTAACTCTCAATCATGATAAGAATTACTATACGAACCATTCCTTGATCCGAACGGTATAATAATGTTTTCCTATTAATTCGGATACTGGATGTTATTTCTAACTGTAAAATAATTACATTTTTGATCGTTCATTTTGATAAACAGTTAGAAACGTAGTTTTCTCGTGGATTCCCCGTGAAAGCAAAGCATCGTAGTCGTCGGAGGAGTATTCGGTTTCGGGCCAATGAGCTCGAATGTATATGACAAATACAGCAGCAACAACAATACAACCAACGACAACGACAAGAAAGATGACGACAAAAGCTATCAAGGAAGAAACGAGAACGCGTTATCCTAGAGTAAAACACGGTAATCCGGTATCGTGTACGTAGGTGGAACATCCAAGGCAAAACGGTGCCGATCTTTTTCTTCGGCTCGGTGCTTTCGTCAAACGACGAAACAACACACCAACTCTCTCGTCCTCAGCTTCGTCCTCGACGCGTGACGTCTTACCAAGACTTTGCGTTTCTACATTCTTCCTCTTTTTTTCTCTTTTTTTTTTTTTATTTATCTGTTTATAATGTAGATATAAATGGTGTATCGTGAATAATTATATGAAATTAAATTGAACAGATTTTATATAATTCCAAGGATAACTCCTGATAATATTAATATTGGGAAGTGATAGTAAAAATATTTTTTAAGTTAACAATTTTTCTGTTCTCACTTGTTGTTAATTATTGATTCTGTTATACTACTCGTTCATTGATACCGATTACCGTGATTTTTGCAGAAAATAATTGAATTAAAAGTGTATCCAAAAGTAGTGTCTTTTTTTTTATGATTAGTTGAATAGGTAACAGCTGTTCACTACTATGCCACGTGGTATAGAATTAAATGACTTATTGTTAGAGAAACAATGAATTCGTTTCTATAAGCTGTAGAAAGTCTTGCTTTACAACAGCGTATTGTATGGATAAATCAAATTGGTTAAAAAGTCAAACAACAATTGGTGGTGCCATTGTGTTCCTAAGTCTGGTATCCTTTGAATTTGACAATAAGCCTAGAACGAATCAAGTGTTATTCTTAACGGAATCAAACTCATTGAAATGATATTATTTCGAGAGAGTTTCAATCTTTGTAATAAACAAATTTTCATCTCTCAAACGAGATTAATTTCGAATTAAATTTAATTACAAATTTACTATGGACATTTGTGTCAATGATGCATCTATGTATTATTGTGTTACATAATTGAAATGTAATGACCAAAGCATAATCAGTAAAAACAATCGTGTAGAATGTTGTGCATATGAAAACCGCTACAGGATAACGCTCCCCTCCCACCCCCCGCCAAATCCATTCGTTCCCGTTTCTTTTTCTTCTTCGTTAGTAGTGGAACGCATATAAGATTTTCTCAACCCTATCATCTTCCTCCTTCGCTTGTTCTTTATCCATCTTTCTTTCATCTTTAAGAATTATTTTACCTGAAACCATCCTTTTCGTACTTCGATATTATTTTTCCTATCATCTCGAGAAACGCGTATTTCGACGATTCGGTTACGCCGATCTTCGTTCGGTAAGAAAGAAAAAGAGAAAGGGGAGAAAGACGGACGGACGAACGGACGGAAAGAAAGAAAGAAAGAAAGAAAGCAAGAGAAAGAGAGAGAAAAAAGATATCGAGCAATTCGAGGCGAGGCAAGGCAAGGCAAGGTGAAGTGAGGTGAGGTGAGGTGAGGTGAGGTGAAGTAAGGTGAAGTAAGGTAAGGTAAGGTGAGGTAAGGTGAAGTGAGGAGTAGTGAGGTGAGGTGAGGTGAGGTGGAGTAAGGTGAGGTGAGGTAAGGTAAGGTGAGGTGAGGTGAGGTGAGGTAAGGTAAGGTGAGGCGAGACGAGACGAGACAAGAAAAGACAAAACGGATTAAGAGAGAAAGAGAGAGAGAGAGAGAGAACAGGGTACTGGGAGGGACGAAAGGGCAGAGGAGGAGGGAGAAAGAGAGATGTCGAAGGGAAGAGAAGGGAAGAGAAGGGAACGAGGAGACGAGGAGAAGGAAAAGGAAAAAGGAAAGAGCGAGAGTCGAGGATCATGAGAAAGAGACGAATACGTGAAGCACAGGATAGGACGGTGTGTGCGAGTAACAGTGACTCTCCATTACGTTCCTTCCTTTAAACCAATTTCATACATTTCCTTTCCTACATAGTTAAACGAGAAACGTATCATCCTTTTATAGATCGACCTAACCGCTTTCTAAGGTCATCGACAATATACTTATACTTTTATAATCGATCGAATGGTGTTTCGAGAAACGATAAAACAACTTACACGTTCGATATTCTTTACCCTTAGCAACTAGACCGTCGAAGTCTCTTCCGGTCAAACCGGACGAGATCCGTCGTCTAATCTTCGTCCTTGAAGAAACGAGCTTGATAAAATTCATTCGGTTTCTAATCGTAATTAAATATTTTATTAAGTAATGTATATTTTTTTCTTTTGTTTTTTTTCCTTAAAGAAGAACGATGCATATGTAATATTCATTTTAGATAATTATTTTATATCAACGATATATAGGATATATCGAAGTGTGGTATCGATAATAATCTTAACAAATGCAACTCTACGTTATTATGCCAGATATTTATTAATTCTTCTCATTGATAATTAAAAGATAGAAAAAAAAAGAAATGATCTTCTAATTGTCGTCAAGGCAATTGGAGAGAGAGACAAAAAAATAAGAAGAAAGAACGCAAAGCGTCTCCCGTCGTGGTTTGAGAGACACTGATCCCGTGGACTATCGTGTTGAGGGTTCAGTGGTGGGGATGGCGGAGGTGGAGTGAGGAGAGCGGAGGGGCTCAAGGCCGGTCGCGCTATGAAGCCAGAAAAAGCTTGCACGCCGAAATATCAACAAGCCTTTTCCTACTCCTCTCTCTTCTTGCATCTACCATCTTCTTCTTTTCCTTGATTCTTTCCTCTCTTTCCTCTCTATCTTTCTCTCTTTCGTTTCATCGCACGCGCCACGTAAAATCTCAGTCGCCAAATGCGAACGATGATCGCGAAAGATGCCCTCGGCGATTGGATACATGCTACTTTCTATGTATATGTATATCCATGCACACGTATGTATTGTATCGTCGACGATCGGCCGATTTTACGAACGTTCCCGAAGGAAGAGAGATTAAACGATAAAAACGTGAGCAGAGAGAGAGAGAGAGAGAGAGAAAGAGAGAGATATGAAATACGAGTGAAAGGAGGAGTTGATAGAATGGAAACGAATAGACTTCGTATTCGGACAGGTGGCATTGCCATGACGAGTTCTGACAGCTGATAGCTTTCGAGGAGACACGATAAGCGAAAGATTGCGAAATTGTCGCGAACAAAAAACAAGGAAAAAAAAACAAGATACGAGTAATATACTGAAATAATAAGAAAGAGAGAGAGAGAGAGAAATAAACGAGAAACGATAGATTGTGGAGAGTTGCACACCACGTATATAATAATACGTTTATTTCACTGCGCGCTCGTGCGAGAGAAAGAGAAATCAGCGTATGACGAAGGTGCGGTGAAGAGGGGCTGGGGAGGGGGAGGAGGACGTAAGATAAAGAAGCGAGAAGGCACGCGGTGATGGCGGCGGTCAGGTGTGAATTCTTAAATGTTCTGATGATAAGAATGAGAAAGAGAGAGAGAGAGGGAGAGAAAGCGGCTAGTTTAAAAAGAAAATCCCTACAAGACTATTTATAGATATTTATTAAAACGATAATATTGTTCGGAAAAAGAGAGGTAGTCTCTCTCTCTCTCTTCCGAGCTAGTATCGTACAGGTCGGCAAGAAGAGGAAGTGAAAAGAGAGAAGGAGAGAAAGAAGTGCGAATTCGTGCGATAGATCGACCGAGAGGAAGAACGGGGAGGGGGAAGGGGAAGGTAGGCGAGAGCGTAGGAAAGAGAAAGAGAGAGAGAGAGAGGGCAAGCGGGAAGGTGCAGCAGTAGTAGTAGTAGGCGGGAGGAGGAGGGGGAGCGAGGGGTCATCGAGAAACATAACCTCTGCACGCACGACGTTCGAGCATTCGTCTAAAAGCGACTTTAGGTGTTACCTTCGCTTTCGGTGGCACGCTTGGTGATTCGCTTACCTCATGGTCCGTTCGACGTAACGGCGCTACGTAGACTCGCGAGGAGATATCTTCGATATCCGAGACGAGGACGAGGACGAGGACGACGACAACAGCGAAAGAAATTGTCCGTTGATGGTCCAACACCGACGACGACGACGACGACGACGACGACGGCGAAATGACGTTGTTAATTCTTCGTGACACACGAACAGTTCCTGTTCCGTAACGAGTTGTGTCTGGAGGATGTTTCTTGCAAAAACTTTCGTATCTTAACGCTGCCACAAGATCTTTCTTTTTCCTTCGACAATTGAACGAGGCAATGTAGTAGTAGTAGTAGTAGTAGTAGCAGTAGTGTAGTAAGTAGTAATAAGTAGTCAAAGTAAGACAGAATATGCGTGCGTGTTTGTGCGTGCGCACCGTGTATATATTTAAAGTATATACGCGCGAGTGAGAGCTTCAAAGAAAAGGACAGACAAGGAACTTGTGCCCCTGTGTGTTGTATGAGCTAGTGAGTGAGTGAGTGAGTGAAAGAGAGAGAAAGAGAAAGAGAGAGAAAGGAAAAAGAAGAAAGGGACATAGAGATAGGGGAAAGAAAGAGTGAAGAAAGAGAGAAAGAGAAAGAAGAAGACGGTGACGGCCGCGTCTGGTACGAGAGCGAGCCGATGTCACATCACACTACCGACACTGGCGCGAGCCGCTTCGACACTTCCGTTTGTCCCTGCTGGGACGCGCGTATCGGCAGTGCTGGTACCGAGGTAACGGGCAACGACGAGAGAGCCAGGCACACCTTCGCGTCGCGTTACAACGAGTTACAAGGAGCCACGAGCGGCCACAAGCACGGGGCTACCTCTGACTCTCCGTCTTCGTCTCCGTCTCCGGCTCCGCTGCTGCCTGCTGGCACCTCCGCGCCACGAGTTTGTACCCTGCTCTTTCTCTCTCTCTCTTTCTCGCTCTCTCGCTCTCTCGCTCTCTCTCGTTTTCCTTTTCTCGAGCGCGCTCTTTCCCCTCCCTCTCCCCCAACACTCCCTTCCTCTTCCCTTTCCCCTCCCACAGTACCTCTCTCTTTCTTCGGCACTCTCTCTCGGTCTCTCGTGCAACCGAACGAGTAACTCTGTCCTACTCTTTCTCGTTACGCGCTGCCTTTGGCGTGCAAGCAAGCGACCGTGTTCTCCTCTCCGTGTGTCCGAGAGGATGTGTGCGTGCGCGCGTGCGACCGCGCGAAGCTAGCGTCTTTAATACAGTGCACCGGCACCAGGTGGCCACTCGAGCGGCCGGCTAACGTTAAAACAACCGCCGCCGTTACCGCAACCACTACCACCACCTCCACTACTCTACTGCCGTCATTGGCCGCCGTCGTCACCGGCCGCCATGACGCCGAGAAATTTGTTCCATGTTTTCTTACGTTTGCGGCGGCGGCGGCCACCACCACCACCAAATCACACCTGCGAACGAAATCAAGCTCCGTATAGAGTCACTATCTTTATTTTCAACATAACTTTTGGTCTTTCGAAAATACCTAATTGTTCTACCTTCTCGTTCGTTTCTCCATGTCCATTTACGTTTTTTTAATCTAAATTTCCCCTAAGAAATAATCGTTCGATTTATTCAAAGTATCAACGAGACAAAATCAATGATCTACGACGACGATCGTCTGTCTTACGTTATTTCGTCTCACGAGATCTCATTGCTCGATGGCAAAATGAGAACTTTATGATCGATCGATCGCGAAATGATGCAGAAAAGGAAGACGAAGGAAAGTTTTTTTCTCTCGATAAAACCCGGCCCCCTCCTCCTCCTTTATTTCCCCCCCCCATCTTCACTCTCTTTTTCTCTTTCTTTCTCCCCTTTGTCGTCTCTCCGAAGCCCCGTGTAGACGGGAAATTTCGCCGGGCACGAAATTTGCCCTACGGTGTACGGAGTCGGCCAATGACTCCGTGCTGCACGACTTCCAAATTTATGATCAACCAGCAGACCCATGGCGAAACTCTCCGCATCCACTTTGCATTTAAATCGTGCATCTGCATGAGTATGGGGTCTATGTACCCTCTACCTCCCTTCTCTCCTATCCCTTCTCAGATGATTTAGGGATTCGCATCGAGAAACTTGGATGGTTCGCGTTTTATTTCTTTTTTTATTCTTTTTTTTTTGTATTTTTTTTTGTATTTTTTTATATATAGATTTCTCGAAAACAAAAAGGAACACACAGGTAACGCTGATTATCTGTGACCTAGATTTCTATGCGAAAAATGATGGAAAAGATTAGGTACTGTTTATTTGTAGTTCGTGTGTCACAACGAGAAGTTTACTACCGATCGTGACAAACTCGTATCGAACAGAAGTCGGGTAAAGGTAAATTATTGCGGTTCAACGATCTAGACTGACCGGGGTCGCCAAAGCTCTTTGCTCTGACTCCGCTTGACAGTAATTGCCATTCATAGGATTTTCTTTAACGTCTTATCGACTTCGGTTTAGCCCATAAATAAACAACTAAATAAGAAAATGAAAGTTCCTCGAGCATAAGTTTTTGGTGCAAACGTTGCAACGATAAGGTACACTTTATTTCATGCTTTCGTATATACACACACGTTATATTCTGCCTGTTGTCCCCTCTCTCGTCGAAGGAAGGAAGGAAGAACGGAAGGAAGGATGGATGGAAGGAAGAGTATGCAGAATTACGTCTTCTGCAGAATTTCACGCATGTAGCGCGTTGTGTGGCTCTACGATCGATGAAATTCGATCGCGAATACGTGTCACAGTTCCTCAGAACATGCTGGTTATAATTGTGAATAATCGATAATTCATCACTGCACGCATCGTATTCGTATCGTTCATCTACGTACTGCAACGATACTTCGCAAACAAAATTTTCATTCGGCTTCGACAACGAAAGAATAAAAGGAGAAAGTTTAAATAAACGAACTTTATAATATAAAGAGATCTTTTTCAATTCTTCCTACGCCACTGTCGCAATCATACTCGGGTGCGTACAGTGTCACCGGTTGGATTTTAAAAATGACCACGAGTATGGAACTACGAATGTTTGCAATTGTTTTCCTAACACGTGGTCATCAGAAAAAGCATGCATTTTGGTAAGAAAATAATGAAGATAAAAATGATTCTTTTTAAACAACATTAGTTTATGCCTATTACTCAAATCAAGATTATGCTTTGGTATTATCTCTCGTCGGGAACTATTAAAAAGATTTTTATTTATTTATTTTTTTTAACGAATTAAGCTATTATGCTCTCGAAGGAGACTGCAAAAATGATTATTTCCTAGTATATTTCGAACCCTTTTTTGGTTCTTGGCGTTTACTCACCCCTAACTTCTACGATGAACCATAATGTTATCGACCTTTTCTCCTGTATGTCTGTCATCCAGTAGATAAGGTATGCATCTATCCATATAGAATACATATCAAGGAGGCAAAAGAAACATCAAATACGTGTCGGATCGATCTTTAATCGGAAATATATTTATATTCCAATTCCAATTCATTTTTGTACGCGGTTGATCAATGTTGTTTTATCGTCAGAGTATTACTCGTTAAGTTAGTACGAACGAATCACCGCTAGATGACACTCGTCGATATTTTAAATTATCGACCGAGCACCGACTTGGTGGACTTTTTGAATGAGCCAAATTTTTTCGAAGATTTTATTTCATAAATTTAGATCTATTGAAAAATAAAAAAAAAAGATAAAACGAATAAAGTAATTGATCGATCGTAACACGTATTAAATATTTCCTATATCGCGAAGCGTAGCAACGACAGGATCGTACGTTTGCTTGTGTGTGTGTTAAATCTTAATCCTGTGGAGGCACGAGCGTCAGGTACCTACTTATCCATTCGCACTATTTAGTACGAATCCAATAAAAAAATGGCAACGCAATTATGAATTAATTTGCGAGAAAGTTAGCGTGTCCTCTGTTAATTCCCATTTTTTTCTCATTCTTTTTCATTATCTTTATCTTTCTATTTTCTACACACAGTAGGAATCAAATCTTCTGGTCCACTAGGTGGCGTCGGGCTGCTGTTGCAAGACCTGCTTAAGATTCTTTGCGATTCCACGGTTAAAAAATTATTTTCTCCGCCTGTCAAAGGGGCGGAAACGATTTCTGGGTCGGTCGGGCTCGGACATCTTCTTTGGCTGCAATTTGATGTTAGATTTCGCGAGAGTGTTTGTAATGGTATTCGATAGATCCTGATCGGCTTCCAATCGCTATGATTGTCTGTAAAAGAAACGCGAGTCAAAATTATACAAAGAACAGAAGAAGTCAAAGTTAAATAACGTTTCTATAAATGAATATAATTTACTTTGTGAATTTGATCGAGAGGAAGAGGAAGACTGCGTTGTCGGTGGTGGACTACTTCCTTGTTCGTCTTTCTCAGGAGGTTTAGAATCCAATCTAATACGTTCGCATTTACTAGATAAAAATTCCGGTGCGGTAGTGGCAAAAAATATGTCCCTTTTAGAAGTTATCAAACAGAGATTCGGCATGGCAATTGTATGTACAAGATTTCCATTTATTATCAAACGAATTTCCATGGTATCAGCAGTGAATGCTATCACGTAAGGAAAAGCACAAGCTGAGGAAAACAACAAAAATATGAGAAACAATGTTATGAATTATTATAATTTTTCTATTATATTTTCTATTATATTTAAAAATGATATAAAAGAGAGAAATAGAATGCTGACCTATCGCTGTTGGTACTGAATTCCATTTAAAATCAAAATCCGTGGGCGCGGTACTCTCTTCCGAACACTTTTGGAAGTGGCACATATCTGCGAATGACGAAATACTAATTGGATTGAATCATTTAATAATTGGACTGTGTCGAAATTAATTAATAATTTGATGAAATCAATTATAACAGAGTGTAAATTACGGAATATTATTATTACATGAGATGGAAAATGATATAAAATAGGAATATATATATGTATTTAATCGAATGAACAACTCACTGTTATAACATAACAATAATTCAGGTTCCTCGTCCTCGCGCAGATCAATTGCTGCTACGATATGCGGTTTGTTCGTTTCAACGTGAACTATACGTGAAGTACCGGACGCCGTGAAAAGTTCGTAATGATGACGTGCACCGCAACACAGCAACCATTCGTTCCCGATCTCTGTACTTTCGATCATCGTAATAAGGGTTGGGCTTTCGCTCGCGGTGAATTCTTTGAGGAGCAAGAAACCTTCGATCGTATCGGTATCCGTCGAAGAACACCAAGTTGTCCAAGCTGCGTTATGTTTCCATTGGAGGACCGTCAAACGTCGTCCAACCGCTGCACACTACGAGCAAACTTCTTATTACCATTAGATTTTAATGAAATTTATATTTCAAACATTTCAATTAACAACAGTGATTACGTAAGAATTTTCTATTAAATTATTCCCAAGTTATATCAATGAAAAAAATAGAAAAATAGTTACTTGTAAATGTCCTATTTAATTCGACCACTTGAAAGTTATTTTTTGGTGACACAGGACTAAGTTACACACAACGTTTGATAAAGTAATACAATGGTATATAAAAATTGTATAATACTAAAATGTATCTATCGTATCTTATACATAAGAATGTGTCAATTGGAATCATATTATATTATATTTATGAATTAGAGTGTTCTTACGTATCCACTTTGTAATGATATTTAAATTGAATATGAAATATATTAAAGAGTACCATTCGCAAGTGCGAACCACCTTGCCTGGTGATACTGTAGAGATGGCAACCACGAGTACGAGTTAATTTTCTATCCTTAATATGTGCACGACTTCTAACCGCGGGTGGTCTCAGTTGTGTCCTTCCTCGCAAACGCAAAGAAGATTTGAATTTGAAATGATCACGATAATTCGCATCGGTATCCTCTTCTTCGATTTCACCGTCCCTGTAATAATCATCCTCGTGTTCTCCGTTTTCTTCGAGTTCTTCCTCGTGTTCGTCAACATCGTCTTCCAAATCGTCGCGATTGTTAAAAAATTCCGGAAATTTGTATGTCCTAGCATTCAACGACGACGAATCGTAATCGAATTCCCGCAAACGAAATACGTAAACGCTTTCTTTCCCTTTATCGATTCCACGAAATAGAAGAATACCGTGTTGTTCGACAACGTCGAGTTGTTTGATCGGAACTGACTCGTCGAAAATCATTCTGTGCGAGAGACCCTCTGGGTAAACACACGAAATACAATTTTTTTATCCTTCATCTCTCTGTTACCGAATTTTTTTTCTTTTCTTTTTTCTTTTTTCTTTTTTGATTGGAGTAATATGAAACAAAGATCTATATAGTTGTAAAATACCTTCGATCAAAAAAGTCCCATTTTCCGATGCAAGTATCATCCTATTTTCGGACCAAACGTCACCGCAAATTACGACGTGTGGGAAATCTGGATAAATACATCTCGGTTCCCAAGGTCTTGGTTTTAATGGACCAACCGTAGCAAGAGAAGTTGGTGCCAGACCGCGAACTATCGCTTCCAATTTAACAGCCTGACCGACACGTACCATTTCAACTGCTCTTGTTTCTTCTCGTCTTCTACCGGGTCCTTCGACAACGTCGGAAAATGCACGACGATTTAACATGCTCTGTTAAACGATCAATATATTATATATTATAACAAACAAAAATCTCTTTGATCAATATAAAAATATTATTTATATAATGTTTAAAATATTATAAACCAAGTATCACACATTTATAATAATTCCCATAAATTTGTTTTTTCTTTTCTTTTTTTGAATTACATTGGAAAATAAACAAGCGTGTGTAGAAAATATTTGTATTTGAAAATGATCGGGATATGTACATTTAATGGAAGATCACGCTGAAGACTCACGTTGCTCTTCCCATCTTGCGCATGTTCCTGATACATGTCGCGCAATAAAGCGTCCAACGTTCTCTCCCTTTTTCTAGAAAATGTTGGCGTGTTAAATGTCGCCTTCTCGCCATTAATCAACTTGACCAGAAGGAATTCTCTCAAGTGATAGGGATCGTCGAAGATCGGTGGACAGGGAAGACTTGGACCGAATAGAGGAACAGTTTCGTCGCAATAAATGGCAACTCGCCAACCTTTAAGAACTCCCAATGCTGATACCACAGCAAACACGTCTAGAATAAGGACAATCCGTATCGAAAATTAGAACAAAAATGATTACCCTTTTTTTATTTTCTTTCTTTTTTAAAATAGACACCCCAAACCAATTGTTGTACAAACTCACGAGTAAATTGGCTCCTTATGCAATTAGGATTGAAATTGTCAACGGCTGCTGGATCATCGATATAAATAATGTTGACAATGTCATTACCGATGTGCCTTTTTCTCTCGAGTTGTTGGGGATTGTCTTTCGAGTAAGGTAGCATTGTGCTGACGTGATACATCACTTCGTGACCGGCATATATCGTGTAAACGCTTTCTCTACCAGTCATGTCACCTTTAACAATTTTTATTTCATTTTCTTTTTTTTTTTTTTTCTTTTCTTTTTGATATATTTATCCTATCGAAATAATAATTATAACACATGTATTTTATTCTAAGTTTCGATATTCGTGATTTAAATAGGAAACGGTTTAACGTGCCTTGAACACGTTACTTTTAATCTTACATATTAATCTTATCGTTCTTGATTAAAGACAGAAATTGTAAAGCGTACCTTTAACATCGAGGCCGCCACGATACTTGTCCCAACCCCTCAGTCGTATCTTCTCACCAAGAATATCGAGGAACTTCTCGAAACCGGGGCTGCCACTTTCTGCGAACAATAAAGACGCGACCCGGGGGTCGATCGTGCCCTCCTTTGATCATCCGATTTCCGTTTCTCTTTTCTATTTTAAACAAAAATATATCTCTTCTCCGCGACGGCACTTGAGAATTTCTTTTTTTCCTTTTTTCTTTTTCTTTTCTTTTTATTATTTTCTTCGTCTTACCGTTCGATAACATCTCATCGTCGGTAGTCTGGCCCTCTTTTGCGTATATAACACCGAACTTGAAATTGACGGATCCCTCTTGTTCCTCCAGCAATAGTAAATCCTAAATAAATCATCATTTTTTTTTTCAAGACTTTTATATTCGTTGAAATTTTTTTAATAAAAACGTTTCGGATAATACTTTGAAATATACGACGTTTCTACTTAATCCTCGTTATTAATTATTTATTGTAAGAACAAAATCATGACAAATGTTATCTAATTTAAGAGAGTTTTGTCTTTTAATATATGAAACCTTCTGTACACCTCGGTAATAATTACGAGTGCCAATTAAGTTACGTGTAACATCTATTGATAAGAAACTTTTAAAAGTCCCCTTTTGGTATGCAACACGACATACGTACATGTATAATTCATTTGTACATATATACTCGAGAGTTTCGTAAGGATCGCGTGTTATAAAATAGAATCGTTAAAGTTGACCTTTGTCTTGTAAGAAGAAAAATGATCTACAGTGAATGCATTAGTGTATATATATATATATATATATATGAATATCGAATATTCTAAAATAAAACACATAATAACTTTAGAAATTAATTCTTTACGTGGGGGACAAAAGATTCCCTTCAAAAATTTTCCCACACACACACAGCGGGTTAAAAAATATTTATTCATTTATTCATTTATTCATAACGCTTTTTTTCAATGTTATAAGAAAAAAGAAAAAGCCGCACGAGAAACTTTTCCAAGATCTTTCTTAAAATCGAAGAAACTTATTCGAGAGTAATAATGGTGTGTACATATAAAAAAAAAAACAACGTTGTTTATGTAAATACCTTTTGTAATTCGGGTGACAAAACTTCGCGGGGTGCTTTATCGAGTTTTTCCAGGCCGAAAAAGTTGCTGGAGAAAAAGAAGGCAATATAACGAGAATGGTCGAGTATGGGGGAGGGGGTGGGGGGTATCACCATATCGAGAAAACGAATAAAAAAAAAAAAAGAAGAAAAAGAAAATATTTACCTCAGGATTTGCCTGATTGTCATGGTCTTGTTAGCCGAAAATGGCAGAGATATCCTTTGTGCACCCTGCGTTTAAACGAATTTTATTTTTTTTTATGTATTATATTTCGAGACTAAAAGAGAACAAAAAGAAAAGAAAAGAAAAGAAAACCGAAGACGAGAAAGAAACTTAAAAAGAGATAATTAAAAATATTTAGCAGGGTGTTAATTACATCTTTATTTGAGTAACCCGATCGAAAAGTTATACTTTATGTTACTCACCGTTCGTCTCCATAAAATAACCCTATAATGGGATACGCATTGATCGCCACCCTCGCTCATAACCACCGAAAGAAATAGTGGATTCCTTTCGTGATCCGAAGTCACGTAATTTTGATGCACTACAACGAGATACAATTCCAAAATATTTTATATGATGCACATTAGGAAATGAAAAGGAAAAAAAAACAGAAATGAAAAGACAGATTAATGTGTGAAATATAATTCGACAATTTTTATACGATGATAACAAAGATCTTAACTAAATTATATTATATATAATTTTAATGAACGAATTGTTAATTATCATGCAATCAAAGGCTGACGAGAGGAGATCAAAAATAATAATTAAAAGAACAAAAAGGTTCAAGGATAAAACACGATTTTGTGTTAGTTTTTTGATACAAATTGTCAATTGTTACTTTTTCGTTGGTTCTATCGTTACTTTGACTTTTATTTTTTCAACTAGTTATATTCTTCTCTCTCTCTTGTCTGTTTTTTCTTTTAAAAATTTTTTATTATTATCAATAAAAAAAAAAAGAAAAAGCAACAACGAGCCAATTAAGTCGACAAATTCAATTGAAAATTTCTACGGTCACTTGCTTTTCTATGATATTTGTTTCCTTTTTATATTTTTTAGATGTTGTTGTTGTTATTCTTCTTATTCTTATTCTTGTCCCCATACCTTTTTTTGTCCTATTTTTACGTTTACGATAGAATAACATCAAGCATTCATCTTAATTATCGATCCGCGGCTCGTAATCGCGGTTCTCCATTAAAACGGGCGTATCTCGTCGTTATTGGCACAAGCTCAGGGGGTTCCGTTTTTATCTTCCTCTTAACCAATATTTATATCCGTTAAGCGTATAAACTTTGGCGTGTACGATAGGAAGAGAGTAACACACACACATATTGGTTTCTGAGCTTTTACCAAGAATTAACACGTGCGCAAAGTTTCCAACTTTATCTGTGTTTGGTGAGATAAAATTGAAAAAAACAAATAGGAAAATAAAAAATGGGACGGGAAAAATATAACGGGTAGATAAAAAGGGAAAGAAATTAAAACGTAACATGCAAAGGGTTACGGGGGAAGGGTGAAGAATAAAAACAAAACAAACAAACAGAGTGAAAAAAAATGGAACGAGATTTATGGTACTCACGTTTGCCCAGAAAGTATTTGAAGTACCATCGCGTTTGATATTCCGGATTTTCCAATATCGGTATATTAGGTGAACCGAACATCTACGCAACAAAGAGAAACGATTATGCGATTATAAATTTAATGGCCACTTTGTATTGTAGATAGGTATTGCTACTTTTTCTTTCTTTTTCTTTTTCTTTTTCTTTTTTTCTCCTTTAAATGAAATCAACGAAGTGAAGAAGAAATTTAGGAAATAAGATGGAAACAACAATAAAAAAAAATATATAAAAATAAAAAAATAATATTCTCTTACTTCTTCTTTCTCGCCTGGAGAATCACCGTTTTCCATTCGAAATCTTCTACCATTGTCTGTACCATCTTGCTCGATTTGTGGTAACTGCAAAAAGAATAATTTAAAAAAAATAAAATAATACGTATAAATATGATAGGAAAAAAAGAACAGTAATATAGAAAATAAATAATAATAAAATCGTGTATGATTTAATCATCTAAATCTTACAATTAATTACAATCAATCAGGATGATTCGTAAAATAAATGATCAAGTTATGATAATAATATGTAATATTATATAAAATGATAATAAAATGATTTATTTAACGTGATCGATTGATCCAATTGATCCCCCAGATCGTAGAATAATAATTATCATCCGATCGACGAATCAAAAAAGAAAAAACGAAAGAGATGAATTTATACGAGGTAGGTTAACGAGATCGTTATACAGGAAATGATGCTTTCACCTGACGATCCTCCTCCTCCACCTTATTGTAGGAAGAGAAAGGGAAAACCGATTGTCACGTAATGAGGACAATGTTTGATAACAATAAACGAAAAAAAGATACATTAAAAAATAAGATATGATCTATGCACGCGTTGTACAATATTACAATTGCGAAAACTGAAAGAAAATTTTGAAATAAAGTAACAGAAGAAAAATAATAAATAATATTATAAATATAAATAATATTATAATTATAAATATTAATAATAAATAATATTAGAGTGAATTAAAAGTATCATGAATTTTGTAAAATTAATATTTCAATTTTATTGAAATCAACCAAAAAATTGCACTATCTGAAACAATGCAATTGCAAATTAAAACAAATTTCGTTAAACGATAGTTGCATTTTTTTTTCTCCTTCCCCACTTCTTTGTCTAGGATAGGAAGGGATGAATTTCCTTTCTTTTTCGGGGAAGGGGGGAGTGATGGGGATTACTTTTCAAAGAAATAAAATATTTCCATTCGATAGGATGAGAGATAATAAAAATTGATGGGAAATTATTGGCATTTCATCTTGGCAGCTAAGAAATAATTCGTAGAAGTTTGAAATGCGCGATTTCTCTCTAGCAGTCAGCAATACCCATACACACAAAAGATTTCTTGTCGACGTTTATCGTCGTGAACAACCACGATTCCGATATTCGAAAGTGCACGTTTCCCACCAAGAAGTGGAACAACACCGACGATTTGACCTATTTGCATTAGAGTAACTTCACCGACGAATGAACGTCTTTCTATAGAAACGTACACAGAAACACACAGACACTAATACGAGAGTTCACTTACCATCTCGACACTTCCATAGCATCGTCTCGATAATACACCTCTCCTCGATATAGCATCCGTTGTGGATCTAAAACACACGAAATTTATTATTATTTATGTTATATTAATTGTAAGTGTCAACCAAAAGGGTTCGTACGTTTTCTTGTTCCTTCAAATTAATATTACGTTAAATAAATTTTACACAAAACAAAAAACAATCCACATTATGCAAGTTTCAAAGCATTCGTTGTGGATCAAAAACACACGAAATTTATTATTAGTTATGTTATATTAATTGTAAGTGTCAACCAAAAGGGTTCGTACGTTTTTATTTCCTTCAAATTAATATTACGTTAAATAAATTTTACAAAAAAAAAACAAAATACAATTCACATTATTCAAGTTTCAAGTACACTAACTTTTGATATATTCTAATATATATATTTATATATATATATCTATGACAAACCTAATAAATTCTAACACGAATATAAGAACAAACGGTATTGGATACTTGGATCGAGAGGGAAGGGGAAGAGGGTTGGTTCTCGAGATTGATTTTAAAGATTCAATGAAGCGTTTAAATGATGATCGATGAAACTACCACTGGGCCAAGAAAAAAAAATAATCGGAATGGTGATACGCGAATCGGTAAGTCTTGAAAAACTATTTTTCATTCTCTTGTTTAACAGGAACAAGAAGCAATCAACATTTACCCCTTAAACCCACCCCGCCCGCGTTTTTTCTTCTACGCGATAAGTTCCAAGATAAAACCACCACCGTTCTTCTCTACTACACTATTCCATATATTTTCTTCGTTTTTCGCGACGTGAATATGTAGGTTAATGAGAAGAAGAAGCAGAAGAAGAAGAAGAAGGCGCGTCGAGGTCGACTTGTTTCAATGCAAAAATCCTACCTACTTAACTATTCGATGTGTATTCTCATAAGTACTTGGATTCAATGTTTTGTTCCCTTTTTTTTTTGAATATCACAATGTATAACAGTTATTATCCTTTAAAAGATTGAAATTCGATTGAATTTTATTGCCCATCGAAATAAATTTCAAATTTCATTACAGATATTTTTCTTTACGTGAATGAGAAATATTGTATATGTATATGTATTGAAAAAGATCATAGCAAACGATACTTCATTTATTTTCTTTCCTATCATCTTTAGATATTGCACACATCCTAAGATATTACCTAATATCTTATTTTCCTTTGATATATGTTACACCGTTGATAGACAACTACGTAAATATGTTTCAACGTATACACAAGATGTATTGTGTGTTGTGTGATATGGATTTAGATTGAAATATATCATATATTTATTATAAATCATATTGATAATAACTTTGCGATTTCGTTGGAAACAAATTTAATGGATATAGAAAAATCCAATAAAATAAGAAAGTATCAGTTGGTGATACAAATGGTTAAGGAGACAAATCTTTAAGGCAAATAATAATCGATAATAATTATTATGTTATGTTATATATTATATAATAATTATTATTATATAATATTTATGGATAAAATTCTAACACGAAGATCTTTAAATTTATGATAGAATTTTTATTTGCATTACGATTAATTAATGATATTATTGTCTGTTCTAATTTTGTTCACCGATAAGATTTTTTTCCAAAGATAATCCAAATCTATAAGCTTAAGATATCTCGAAATAAATGTAATATGAATTTTTCATTCCTCAACGTGTTGAAAATAACAAAAATGTTATTTATATAATCACGAATTAAATATAATATAATTCTGAGTAAAGTGTTTTAATTTCTAATTAATATTACGAATCAAATATTAACGAAGACATCTTGTTAGAGTAGACAAATAAAACAAAATAAAACAAAATAAATAAAACGAAATGAAATAACCAATGGAATAAAAAAAAAATCATGAATTAATAAAACGTACGCATGATGACTGGCCCTTCGATGAAGATGTCTTAGTTGAGATGAAGAAAGCATAGGTACGCAAACCGATCTCGATCTGTTTCTACGTTTCATGGCATCCAATTCGGCTGAAGTTGGTGCCGATTCTTCATCACTTTTGCTATCCATCGTTGAATATAATTTTCCACTTGTAATTATAGTTAATCTCTTTAATTCCTTATATCGGTTGTATCGATATTAACCGATTAACATTAAGTAAGTAAGTTTCAAAAGAAACAAAACAAACAAACAATCCTCTTCTTAATCGTCAATTTCAAAGAAGAATTTGTATAATTTTGATCGGTCACGAGGATAGATTAACTTTGAAAATTGACTTTTCATTTCTATATGTTATTTCTTTTCTTTTTCTTTCTGTTTACTGCACGTATTTCCTTTATGAGATAGAAGTAAACAATCGTGACAACCCTTTTTCCTTTTCTTTCATAAATCCTACGAGATAATAATATTAGATCGTACCATTTAAATATCACATACTTTAATTCTATTCTATTTCGATGAGAGAGAGAGAGAGATATATATAAAACAATAATCCCCAGATATATATAGAGAAAGAAAGAGAGAGAGGGAGAGAATAAATTCAGGATCAACGAACTATCATAACGCGTGTTCGAACTTTCAACCTCTGACCTTCCTTAACACGTTATTTAATTCTCGGAAGTAATATCGTTGACCGATCATCACACGTAGGTAAGTAGGTAGGTAGACAATGTTCATATAAAAAATCATATTTATAGATCAATCATATTTATATCCCACATATAATTATTATCAATAATATACGATATAAAAATGGTCTATATAAAAAACAACAAAATATATATATATATATATATCTATATAATAACTTACCCCCCCTAGGAAGAGTAAAATAAAACAGTAGCAAAATAAAACAACCTTTCTCACGTTCCCTTCATACGTGGACTTTCCAACCACTCTCTCTCTCTCTCTCTCTTTTTTTCAATGTAATCGCGAGTAAGCTTTCACTCGTCTTTGCCACGACTGTCAAGCAACCCCTCTCTCTCTTTCTTTCTTTTCCATGAAGTCTCGTCGAACGACCTTTCCTCTTAACGGGCACGACGACTTTCAACCCCTGGCTGTGCACTAACAACGTCGAGAGTATAAACGCGTTCTATATTATCTTTTATTTCTTATTTTTTTCTTCTTCCCTTTTCGGGGAACACCCACCTCCACCCACCCTCTCCTATTCTCATCCACCTTCTCTCTCTCTCTCTCTCTTTCTCTTTCTTTATATGTTTCTTTTTATATTTATAGATACGATACGTATATAATATGCAAGTATATTAATACATAATATATATATATATATATATATATATATATTTTTTCTTTTTGTTTTGTATTACGTGTATATGAAATTTGTTATATTGTGTCCACGGATATTTATTTATTTTTCTTTGGAAACACGGGGGTGAAAACAAAAAAATGTTATTCGATAAGAATTGAGAGAGAGGACAAAGATTTCGTTCGTTCGCAGTTACACGACGGCGACTCGTCGACTGGCGCCGTATCGTCGAACAACTCCTCTCTCCTTCCTCTCTCTTTCTCTCTCTCTCTCTCTTTTACTCATACTCATACTCTGATATATACACACACACACAGATACACCTTCCCACCCCCCCGAAACGCGAAAAGTCCCGCGTTCGACACTCGTCGTCGTCGTAGTCACTTCGCGTTTTGCCCGACTAACACATTTTTAATCTATCATAGTGTTTTGTTTTTTTTATTTTTTAATCTATGTGTCCACACACACACACACACACACACACTGGAATACAAAAAAATAAATGAATATTATTTTTGTGATTATTATTGTGTTTTGTTGATTGTTTTGTTAAGGTTGAAGATTTAGAAAAGAGGATTCATCCTAACAGGATCACTCCCAAAAAGCATATCGACGCGCCCTCCTCCTCCTCCTCCTCCTCCTCCTCTTCCTCCTCCTTCTCTTCCTCATCCGACACACGACACGCAGGCGTCGGAGGGTTTTGCACACCGGAGGACGGTGACCTGCATTTTCGTTGGCGCCGAGGAGGACCCTCTCTTGCTGCAGAGATCAGAGACCTCTCTCTCTCTCACTCTCTTATTCGATATTTCTTTCTTTTTCTTATTATTATTATTATTATTATTAGATTTTACGAATAAATCGGGGTTTTATTTTTCTATAATTTTGTTCATCCATTTATCATATTATTTTGTTTACTTCTGTCTCATCGATTTGACACTTACATTTTTATTTATTACGATTACATTTACGATTGCACAAGGATGCAATTTGTTTTTGGCCGATTTTTGATACGATCTTCGGGGTTTCTTATCTTTATATGTTATTTTCGATTCTTTATCTTTTAGATTTTGTAGGAAAATACTATGTGGATGATGATAGTTGCATTCTGTTTATTTTCTTTCGTTCTTATCTTTATACTAATACTCGTTTCGTTTCTTTTTATATCTTACGAGAACAATTTGATATTTTTTCAATTAATTGATTTTTAATATACAACCTTCGTCTTTTTGTTCTTTTTATTAACATTTATTCGTATTAATTCGTTATTTTAATTGTAGGAAAAACTCTCAACGAGATACTCGACCTTCTTCGATAGGATTGACACTCGAAAAAAGAATGATCGGTGTGTTGCACTTTTAACGAGTGATTTTTTATTTTTATATATAAATATACGTATAAACTATACAGGGTGTCCCAGATAATTTGTCTTCCCTTTTTTTTTTCTACAATACTATACATTTAATTGATTACTGACTGTTACTTCATGAAAATATGAATTACATGGATTTGCTTTAATAATCAATAACTTTTCGAAATATCGATATTTCAAATGAATATTTTCGAAGTGCCATTTTCTGTTATCAATATTTCTTACTGTCTGTGGTCAGGTCACTAAGGTTTAGGATAACTCATCAAACATAGCTTTTATTTACTATATTCTTTTATTTAGATATAACTTTAGTTACACTAACTCGTAATATCCTTATGTCAAATCTATAACAACTAACATAAATCTTGACGCAATTAATAATATTATATGTTATAACATTTTCAAATATTAAATTATATATTGATTCGTATATTAAAAGATTAATTCATTTTTTTGTCTTATTAATTTTCTTATTTTACCGATAGAAAATTCAATCTAATAGAATCAAATAAATCGTATATAATGTTATCGTATTATAATAAATAAGATTAAAAAAAAAAAATTGATTGGATATAAAAAATAAGCAAGATAAATCGAGAAACTTTCGATACAATAAAATGATCGATCATCAGAATTAATTGCTATTAATTTCCTGCTATTAAATCGATCATATTTATTCAAGTAAATATCGTGTTCGTTAAATCTTTCACGTTATTTTTCAAGGTTCTACCGACATTTCCGTATATTTAATCGATCCCGCCAACGTGACAACGTTTATCGACACTTGATAAACCTCCTCCTCCGACCAAAGTGGAATTCGCTTTAGAAAAAAAAAAAAACATTCATTTAGTTTACTGTTTTAGTAATATTGATCGTAAACATTTAAACATAACAAAGATCAAACGCAATTTTTTCAAATTACTCGAATACGACCATTCGAGTTATCGTTTTTATCGGCAATTTACAGAAAACTATCTTACCGATATTATTCATTTGAAAATGTTCCCACCATTGAATGAGACCCACCGGTGAATTAATTTAATTTAATTAACGTGTTCGATACTATTTCAATTGTTTTATATTATTACTCGACGAGAAATTCAACGATTATGTTTAGTACTTTTAAAAAATTTATGCGTATCCTTCAATAGTCATCGTTTCACGTGACTAAGATGATAAAAGTTGAAGAACTATTAACTATTTGAAAAGTTATTTAAAAATGTACGAGTTTATTTACGAATATACATTCAAATATTACGTATTTAAATATATAAAGAAAAAACGTGGTAATTCTATACACTTGTTAGTTTATAATTTTAATAATTATCGTTATTAGTTGACAACACACATATTTATATATATATTAACAAAATATCTTTTCTATATTTTATGTATAACATATTAAAACCATTTGCAATCTTGTCTGAAAAAAAAATAGAAAAAATAATCTAAACGATAAATGATTGAACAAGTAATACGCGTACAATCGAATGTTCAGATAATTTCATTGTATCTATGGTAAATCCCTCCCTTCTCTTCTTGTCAATTTCGTTCAATTTTTTAAACATAAACCAGATACGAGAAATCATAATCTTCGAATGAAATACAAAGATGCGTATCTCTTTGATATCATTCATTGTTTAATCAGTGAATTAACTTAACGCTTAAACTTCACGTAATCAATTAGATTTCGAATTTAGTATGTGTGTGTGTGTATATATATCCATTGTGTTTCGGCATAATCTAATAAAAGTCACCGTACGAGTTTGACGTCAATGGTTTACCGAAAACCACGACACATACAATAATGAACTTTCTATATCGGTTTTATCACTAGAAACTCAAACTCTTATCTTAGTTATTTCGAACAAGGATAATATAATATTAATGATCTCATTATAAAGCAATCTGATTCGTATAATACGAATATTAATGATAATACTAAATGTTATAAGAAAAATAATCAAAAAATTGACTGATACAGAAAGGATGAAAATAATTATGATCAACAAGGAAAAAATAATATTAGCGAAGAAAAAAAATTCAAACGAACGATTAATAATTGTCATTGCATTGTTATCGAATTTCAAAAATATACTTCTCTAATCTTTTTTAATGAATATTAATTTTGCCAAAAAAGACCACACACACACACACACAAAATCGATATATAAATTAAAGATGATTTTAAAATAAATAATTCAACAAAGTTTTTGGGCAAAAAAAGAAAATTGGAGAAAACGTATGACAATTTTACCTAGAGGAGAAGCTTTGAAATGATATGAAGCTTGATGATGATCACATTGGCGTCAAATCCAACGTTCTGGGATGATAATAAATTTTGGTTGAGTTTTCAGTAAGGGCCCTAAGGCTATATTCGAGCTAATTCTACGGGCTACAGGGTACACCAGGTATCGTTATGCACTACGACAAAATCAATATACCTATATACACACACACATATATATATATATATAAAGAAAATAGGTGTTTTCGAATGCGGGCCATCGCGATGACGCAATTCACGATATACAACTAACTCGCAAGTACACAAAGTCATCGGAAACGCTCGAGTACTTTTCTATTTTTTTACTATTTATCAATTACCATCTGAGACTATTATTCTCTATTTCTCTTTCTATCTCATTCTCATGACCATAATAACAAAATAAAACCCAGTTTCCCAACACCTATCATTCTTTTTCTATTACTCGGTAAATGA